GCGCTGGCCAAGACGGCCACCAGCACCGCCTAGGACACCTAGCGAAGCAATCAAGTACCTCCAGACGCTCTGGGAAGAGCCAGAGGACTTTGCCGCCTTCCTAGAAATCACAGGTTTCTATAACACAATATATAGGCCTCACTAGAGCCTACACTTGTAAGACTTTTCCTGTCTTCCTATTTTCTTTCTTTCTCTTCTCTCTTTCTCTTCTCTCTCTTCTCTCTCCTTCTCTTCTCTTTCCTATGTCCTCTATACTACACACTCCTTAGTAAGCATCAGCTACGACAACTAAAGGCGGATACACACCTACTGCACAATCATTTCAGTGGCGATCAACAGGCGGAACGACCACTACTAGACCACTACAATCATGTAAATAAGAATAGGCATCCTAGGCATAGTACGGCAAGCCATAGGCATAGCCCGTCTACATGCCCCAAGGGAGGCTTTATATATAGACGTTAAATACAACTCACTCACTCACTCCACAACCAAGAGAAGTCAATAACTAACGAATTTTTGGATCGGTTCGTAATTGATCGAGTTCTCACCTAACAAACTCACGATAAGAAACACAACAGGCCATGTCGGCGCCTTCGCCCACCACCACAACCACCCCCAAAATGCAATACGCCCGCCTCGGTACATCCGGCGTCAAAACCTCGCGCATTATTCTCGGTTGTATGGCCTTTGGCTCTCCGGCTTGGGAAGGCTCATCTTGGACTCTACCAGAAGATGAAAGCATGAAAGTCATCAAGCGAGCCTGGGACCTAGGAATCAACACCTGGGACACAGCAAACACCTACTCCAACGGGGAAAGCGAGCGCATTCTCGGGCACGCCATGAAGAAATTAAATATTCCACGCTCCAAAGTAGTCATAATGACAAAACTCTATTACCCGGTCATGGATGACGAGTCGCGGCCGCAGCCACCAGACAGCTATTCGCAACAGCTCGTGAATCAGATGGGTCTGAGCAGAAAACACATCTTTGACGCCGTCGAGGCATCGTTGGAGCGTTTGCAAACCTCGTACATTGACGTCCTCCAAATTCACCGCCTCGACCGTGACACCCCGCCTAAAGAAATTATGCGCGCCCTCCACGACCTCGTCTGCATAGGGAAAGTGCGGTACCTTGGTGGAAGTAGTATGTACACCTGGGAGTTCGCGCGCCTGCAATATACAGCGAAGCTCAACAATTGGACAACTTTTACGTCTATGCAGCCTTTCTATAATCTACTTTATCGCGAAGAAGAGCGGGATATGATCCCCTTTTGTAGATCTGAGGGAATAGGAATCATTCCTTGGAGTCCGTTGGCGAGAGGGCTCTTGGGAAGGCCCGTCGGCACGACAAGTAGCAGGAATGAAGCTGATGCGAAGACGAAAAAATGGTTCGGTGATGCGGAGCCTGAGATCATCCGACACGTAGAAGAGCTGAGTAAGACGAAAGGGTGCAGCATGGCAAGCGTCGCGACCGCTTGGGTAATCAAAAAGGGCTGCTCGCCTATTGTAGGACTTACCAGTGTGGAAAGGGTGGATCAGATCATGGAGAGTTTGGGAGTGGAGTTATCAGATGAGGAATGTAAATACTTGGAAGAACTTTACAGGCCTAGATCAGTGCAAGCCATATGAAAGAATTAGAGTATGGACTGGTTACGCTTCGATTTCAGAATGCAGTTCCTGTTTTTCTACGAGGTGCGGAGAAGTCTATGTCCATATACTTTGGCAAAGAAAAACCTTGTCGTTCATAGTGCCAGTATGTCGGAGATTGCGGGGAAACTCCTCCAGGACGAATACTGTCTGGATAGCAGAACCCCGAAGAAATGCGGCAAAATGGTCGTGGAACGGCCTCGAAATGACCATTAGCTATTAATCCGCCGCGCTTCCACCTTTTCACGAAGTCCTGTGGCACAGCTGTATTACCTCTAGCCTACCATCCATCAACTGTTTCTCACAATTCCAAGTTCTACTGCGGAAAGTAGACTCTAGCGCGCCCTGGTTACTGCAAAGAGAGAATTGCAAAAACCACAGGATTTCTTACCTAATTATGACGTCTGGAGAGCTTGTCTTAGGTACAGATGAGTATTCTTTGTTAGATTATGGATAGACCGTTGCGGCGACACTTGTCGCATTTCTTCAACGACTGCAGACTAAACCGCGCTAATATGCCATCGCGTAAGGGAGGGATCACAAGAAGCGACAAGGCTACCAAGGGACTGAATATGAAGAAAGCGATGATTCTAGGACAGGATGCTGCAGGCGTCCCGCTCTGGAGATGCGATGAGGGGTCCTGTAAGTACTTGTTTTGTTCATCCCTTCTCATTCCAATTAAAATGTAAATGTCACTTCTGCAACTCATTTCAAAGTATCCGGTCCCTATTGGCACTCGCAAGATGTATGCTTGATTGTCTTCATTACGGAACATGGAGCGATTCATGTACAGAGGAAACATTAGAAAACTACCCCGCTAGTCAAGTCACAGTTGGCCAGTGGGGGGAGCCACACATAGCGCAGTAAGCTTCTTGATTAGCGTTCGGTCTTCTCTCCGATGTTCCTTACTTTGTGGGGGAACGCGGGGGCTGGAGAACCTTCCGAGCAGGACAGTTTGAGCGAAACTCTGCATACCTCTCTCTCCAAATTTGAAGTTGCTGCGGCCTCTCGTTTTATTATTTACTACTCTCTCCCCAAATTCCCAAATTTTTTCTTTTCATTTCGTCTTCATTTTTGTATTGCTGCAGAATACACGTTCGGCAAACCTGACCACAATGCCTATCTCCAAGTCCACCATAGACGAGAAGAAGGTGATGCTTCCGCCCGGCGTTTATACGCCTGTCATTTCCCTTTACAAACCTACAAAAACTCAGGAGATCGACCTGGATTCCATGTACAAACACTGTCAATATCTTGTCCGTGCCGGCCAACACGGCCTTGTCTACCAAGGCACAAACGGCGAAGCAGTTCTCCTCTCCCGTTCTGAAAAGATATCCATTATTCAAACCGCCCGTCGCGCTGTAACCGATCTTGGTTTTCCCGGTTATCCCTTGGTGGCAGGTATAAGCGGACAAAGTACGAATGAAAGCATTGAGTTGGCGCAAGACGCCAAAGATGCGGGCGCATCTTTTGGTCTACTACTCCCACCTAGTTTCTGGACTAAATCCATTACCGAGGAGGCGCTGTTGGGATTTTACAGAGACGTCGCCGACGCGAGCCCACTACCCATTGTCATCTACAACTTCCCCGCTGTAACCTCTGGCGTGGACCTGAATTCTGATGATCTCGCCGCTTTGGCACAACACCCAAACATTGTCGCTATGAAATTGACATGTGGAAATGTTGGCAAAGCGATCCGCCTGACTTCACGCTTCTCTTCTGCTCAGTTCTCAGTGTACGGTGGCTCATCCGACTTTCTATTCCCTACGCTCGAGGGAGGCGGTGTGGGGTGTGTGACAGGGATGGGGAACGTGTTTCCCAAATCTACAGCGAGAGTTTATGATCTGTGGATGGAAGGCAAGAAAGAGGAGGCTAGGGCGTTGCAGAATGTCGTGGCCAATGCAGAATGGGCCTGCAAGAAGAGTTTGGCGCTGACAAAGTTTGCTGCAGGGCATTTTCTAGGTTCTAAATTAGGAATCAAAAGCGAAGCGTTCTGGCCAAGACGTCCGTACTTGCCTCCAGGGGAAAAGATGAGGGAGTGGACAGTTGATGTCATGGGGGTGTTGGAAGCAGAGGAAAACTCCATTGCAGAAAGATAATGTGTATAGCTTAAACAAAGAGAAAATGATAGATCATGTTATAGGGATATTTCTTCTATATGTCCTCTAGAAATTATTCCATAATACAACAATGTTAAAAAAGTAAATACAAAGGTTATGTTAAATAAACATGGATTGTTTACTTTTGTAAAAGACAAGAGAGACTGCACATCATGTGTCCTAGACTTAGAGTTGTCACATCTTCCTCCCAAATCGATCGTTTGGGCGCTGGCAAGGCCGCAAATGAGTCGGGTTTTGACTTGTCTTTCCTATCCTGCATCACTATAAGCCAGGTTACATCGACACGCATCGGGTCTCAGTTAGCCTGCCCAGCTCGCAGTGCCACAGATGGGCTGAGCATGGCTTCGGCTGCTCTACAGCGATGCAGATAACATCCTGGGTGCGCATGGAGCCACGTTTACCCTGTCTACGATATACTGATATCTAAAACTGTATCACCATTGATTCGAAGACTTATTTCTCAAAAAGTTGCATATTTGCTACCTAGTACTCACTCTAAAAATGATCCATGACGCTTTGTTTCGTTGTGCATACGCCACATGAATTTGACTTGCTCATAGTGAAGCTGGTGACAGCGTGCGAAATCTGTTTACAGGCTTCGTCACAATATTCAGGTTGTGACCGGAAATGAATTTTGTCAACGCTGAGCTCGACGGCCTGGCCGTACAATTTGTCTGCAGGAACCTTCGTTCCGACTGCGTCCGTCATCTTCTTCCCGTCCAAAAGAGCGAGCACTGCTTTTACCACAGCTGATACTGGTGTCCACATTTCCTCTGGTTATATTTTGAGTATCTCTGGCGGCAATATTGGTGTCGGGACAGTTCCAGGACATGTGGCATTGACTCTGATCTTGTGAGCGATCATTACAGGGGCGATCGCTCGCAAAAAGCCGTGTAAAGCGTCTGAATTTTGCAATGATTAGTATGAATTGAAGTTTCTTTTGAGTAAAAATCATGATAAGAAGTGACAATAAAACGGACATACGTTTTGCTGCTCTATACAGCGGAGCGAAGATGACAGGATACAATGACGCATCGCTCGCTGTGATGACAATAGATGCATCTTCAAGCTTTTGTAACTTGAAATAGTGAACGGCCAGGTAGTTAGTGTAGCACACACGATTCAAGTTTACGTCTATGGCGCTGGTGTTTGGCTTTGGAGGTGGGGCGATTTCATCCTTTGTTTCGTAAAAGTCCAGTGCACTCCCTATACCGGCGTTGGCGAAAACGAAGTTAATCCGGCCTTCAGATAAATGAATGTCCTTGAACACTGCGGTAAGACCATCGTAATCCGTAACATCAACATGGCGGAAATCAGTTGTAGCCTAAACTTCAGGGTCGAGGTTCTCGAATGCTTCAGCATTATGATCGAGTAGGTAAACATGCCACCCTTTCCGTGCCAGTAGTCCTTCTGCAACACCAAGTCCTATTCCAGACACTAGATGACGAAAGTGAGTTAGCATTGTATTGTAAACCAACATTGACAGTAAAGAATACAATAAGAGTTTCGCATAACATACTACCGGTGATCAGCGCAACACGGAATGCAGACATGGTAAGCGATCAAATGAGTCTCTCAATGTAGCTATTAGAGGACTTAGGGCTGTAGCTAGAGATATCGAAGGAGTTTGGTGCATTTGATACTGAGCTATCGCAAGTGCCTATACACTGCCGGCAATGACAGACTAGCAGTACAGTAAGCTAGATAGTAGAGTACAATACCGGACTACACGTATGCATACATCGGCCCATTTTATTTTCAGGGGTCTACTACAAGGTTCAACGTAGTATACCGTACCTATTTCTCAAAACCCCCGAACCTTTTCGGGCGACGCAACCAATGCATCGCTTCACACCGTAGTAATCAAGTTTGCGCACCTCATTCCGTAACTCGGTTTGCGCACGAAAATAAACTAAAGTAGTATAATCTACATGCTATTTTATTTACTATATCAAATGTGATATCAACGCCGCGAATGATCTGACGATGGCCAGCTGCGTATGTCGCGAGTAGCCGATGATGTTGTACGCGTCATGATATTTGCTAGCATGTGCGTTTAAGAGGGCCACTAACTCAGTCTCTTCTACGCAGACAAATTTCTTGCTAACGTGTCAATCAGGAGTATGTCCGCTAGTGCAGCCCATTCTTAGCTGAGAATTCACCCAAAGTGGTTCGTGATTCGATGACCTGTCTATATAACTTCCCTTGGAGTGCTTTTAGATTATTCTATAACGTGGCAAGGCCTCTATACTAATACAGGCCCACTGAGATTCCTCATTGAGGAAGAATACGATGTAACAGTCCTGCGCGGTCACACGCAATTCTCTGTTGAAGTTGAGACCTCGCGGGACAATGACACGGGCTTTAGGAAAGATCTCTTACAACAGATAAAGCTATGTCGGCGGTGCCAAATCTGCAGATGCGGGTCGCTTAGAGTCCGCTAGAAGATGGCCTCGATATTTTACAGTGTCACCTTCACTTCCTTCTCCGATACGGCGTCGCCAGTCCTCCACCTATTCTCCCGCCCTGCATATTCCATTCCGCTGCACTCGCCGCCCCAGCTCTGTCCTCTGATATATCGTATGCACCAAAATTTCTTTCTTTGAAATCATTCCACCGCTCGCGAATAGTCTTCTTCTTGCGGCCTGCCCGTCGCTGAGCATCCAAATCGACGTAGTCAGAACCGAGGACTGCCGCGATGGTACTTGCGGGTGCACCGGCGCTGAATTGATCTATAGCCTTACTCCGTGACTCAGTTGAGGTGAATTGGCCGTCGGGATATTTTGGTGGCTGTGCTGATGGCTCAGAGTCGTAGTAGATGGGTGGTGTGACGTCAAGATTGACGTTATCCCTTTTGACTCTGGTATTGGCGTTATTCATGTCTGGCTTTTCGATGCGCCGACTGTAGCTCGATTCTGTGCCCATATCTTGACCGATGAGAAATGGTGCAAACGGCCTGTTGAGTTCGCATTCTGGTTAATATAACGGTAGCTTTGTGCGTAATCATACCTAAAGTTCGAGGAGTAGATTTGACAGTGCCAATGCTTGGCGAGTCCCCCAGCAACTGCAGCACTGACGTAGGGTCAGATGATTTGCTAGAGACGAGCCTCTCTATACATACGCCAAGATTGCATGGGAAGGTTAAGACTCCCACGATACATGACCTAATGTGCCGTACTTCCGATCTGGCAGCCACAGGACGTATTCCATTTTATCTGTTTGTCAGTTAATCAATGTCTGGAGTCGCAGTATTAATTGATATTGCAAGATAGATATATTTAGCTAATGCTGCATTATGCTTCCTGGAAATTATACTGGCTACAGGCCTGCTTCTTCAAACAGATGTTATATTAGTACTTCTATAACAAAGGTAACCCCAAGGACTATATTGAAGGCCTACAATGATCACTCATTACTAGGTTGACTTTATCAATCATCGGCGTGCTACCATTTGGAAGAGTCGAAGTCGGCAAAGTGCAGCAGAGTAGGGTTGCTGCCTCACAAATGTAGTTGATTTTGGATCAAGTCAACGAGTGGAGAAGTGGGGTAAGTAAAGCAATCACGGGACCAAGTTTAAACCATGCAATTAGTTCTACTTGAATTGTCTTTAGATTCTCGAAGGTTAGTTTCGTGTATATTTTTCTACATTCTCCGAATTCTCAACGAACGAGTCCCTGTGGGACTCCCGGCCTAAGTCTTACTAATATTCCTGTTTGGGATCAGTAGTCACTAGAATGTCTGAACGGATAGGATTGGCACGAGGACAACGCTTGAGCAATCCATAGTCGCAGCATGACCATCAGCTTGCTTTCGACCAAGCCTTCTTTTCCTTTAGATAGAATATAGCACTATAATACGGCCTGAGCACCTACACTGCTAAGCTAATGTGCAGCCCAATGTACCAACTCCTTGCATAGATTTACTACAGCATTACCATGTATAGTAGTTTCGCTATTACTGAATTCCCAAATAGAATCAGTCCCACATGCCTTGGCAGGTAATCATGTCGTAATATGTTAGATAACTACCGTGTGATCTAGAAGATATTTTCTTGAAAATACTACCAACAAATGACTGACAGAGTTGCTATTTTTCTCACGCTGATTGATTGTTATTTTATCAACAACCGAGAAATATTTTGCTATCACTATGAATAGCTATGCGACTCCGACTACAGCGGGGCCTCGGTAGTAGTAAAGACATGAGACTTGGCAGCTGAACATCGTCGGTCCACAGCTGAAACTTTAACACCCGTTTGTACTAGTATACAAATATTTCATTTAACTTCAGCTCCATGCCACCAGCTGTATTACAACCTGAACGACGATAGAGATGGCACCACTTCAGGTGTTGTCATATACACCGTCTTTTGCGACGTGCACAACCAATACCCATCTAGCAATCACGCTCAGCTCGGCGGGGTGATGAAAGATCTGGTTACAGCTGAAATCCTTTGAGATGACTGGCTTGAAGAGCCAAACATGGGCGAAATCAACCTAGAGCATGCGATATACGACTTTGTACCTCCTTCTGAGGTCGTTTCACAGGGATCAGAAGCAGCATAAAGGATACATGTTCCCACGGTACCCAGGTTTAGCTCATCAACATCACAAGCTGCGTTCTCGGAAGATCGGCACTTGTCGCTACAACCCTTTTCATCATCTCTATACCATTATTGATCAAGACCAAGCCTGAAATTTCGGCGCCTCTATCGTCAAGACAACCCAAATATATATCTGCAATGGCCGCAATTTCCCTGATCTTGCTTGCCCTCACAACTACTCTAGTCTCTGCTACGACGACATGGAGCGAAAACCTCGTCCTCGCCGACTGCGGTATTGGGCTCGGAGTAAATGGTGGCTCTACATCACGCGAGATGATGTACTACTCCAATATAGCCTGGGGCGCCCCAACGTATATGGCCAATGTCCCATGGGACGGCTCGTACCCTTGGCGATCCAGCGGCGTGTCGCAGACACTTCCCAACGGAGATAAATGGACAGTGGTAATCGACAACAACGCTGGAGATCCAAATGTCGCGGGGTTCGCTTGGCATACATACGATCCCAATCCCCTGACGTGCTTCAGTCGACATCTGGATGGGCTCTTCACGCTGGCCGACGGCAAAAAGTGCAGCATGGCGTACATCTGCAACCACGCGCCAGCAGGCCCAAAACCTCCCGCGCCAGCACCAGCACCAGGACCCGCTCCACCGTCGTCTCCACCGCGACTAGATGAGAACGCAACGCCAGGCGCGCTCAAATACCAACCCGTCATCGACTTTGACAAGTCAGCCTGCTACAACACCATGGCCATCACGCGCAGCGGCCAGTTGAACAACGGCCTGGAACTCGGGCAGGGCGACTGCCGCACACTGGACCGTCTATCCAACAGTAACGTCTACGTACGCGAAAAGTGTACTAATGACGGCTGGTGCTTCTACCTGTACGGCTACTACGCTGAGAAAGATGAGGGTGGCAGCCTAGCCAGCGGACACAAGCACGACTGGGAACACCTGGTTGTGTGGACTCTGCACGGCGAGGCCAAATACCTCGGGTGGTCGCATCACGGGGACTACTCAGTCGACTGGGCACATGCCGTGAGATGGGAAGGCAGCCATCCCAAGTTTGTCGTTGAGCGCGATAGGGGCACTACGCATTGTTTCCGCAAGGCGACCGAGTCGGAGCCACCAGAGAACGCGACGGGGAAGTGGGTGCGGTCGGCCTTGGTCAGTTTGGAGAGGATGAACGGGGGGCTCAAGGACAAGATGCTGGGGAATAATTGGGGTTCGGCGCACATGGATCTGAAGAACGAGAGGTTTGATCAGGCGTATTGGGATACCTGGAAGATGGCGAAGGCGCTTGATAATCTAGGGCCTCCAAGGCCGGATCTTCCCGGTCCCCCGCACCGGGAGCTGTAGAGGCGAGGGTTTGGATAGACAGGGCGAGTTTGTAGTGTGGGCACTCGGATAGAGTACACATGTAGATGGTGCTATGTCGTGGTAGAAATGTGATGAGATGATTAGTACAAGCCCGTCACGCCAGTCTCCACTCAGGTACGTACGTACTTAATGCAAGACAGCCGTGCACGCGTCATTGGCCCATCTGATTGGTAATCTGACTCGACAGGGACCGAACCGACGACAGAGCATCAGATACATAGTATGTGTTACCTGAACATGAACAGCCTTAAACTTCATTCCTAGACACAAATATAATGTCTTCCCAGCGCAACCTGGAAGGCGCCGGTGCAGCAGATGAGCATGCGCCCTTGCTTGCGCATGCTGACGCGCCCGATTACACGTCTGTACCTCGAGAAAGTGATGATGAACCCCAAGTACCCGACGACGAGGTATCGCGTACATGGCAGTACGTATGGAGAGGGTTCCTAGCCCTGGCTGCAACGCTCATCATCGTTGTGTTCGTCAAGGCATGGATAGACGCCGACGATGTCGATGTACGTAACCCCCGGTACTTGTAGTAGCCAGCCCATGTCCAACACCCCAAAAACGCTCACCACATGCACCACAGTTCGACCTCAAAGGCGCCTTAAAGCGGGCCTTGGGCGGCGGTCTCAGCGGCGCCGCAGCCATGATTCTCCAGGTGCTGCTTCTCATGCCCATCCGCACAATCATGAACTACCAATACCGCCACGGGACTTCGACCACCACGGCCACCAAGACGCTCTACCACGACGGCGGCATCGGCCGCTACTACCAAGGCATGGGCGCAGCACTGTTCCAAGGCCCCATTGCTCGCTTTGGCGACACAGCCGCTAACGCCGGTATCCTCGCCCTCCTGCAATCCAACGGCTTCCTCAAGCAACTGCCATCCCCCATCCAGACAATCTTCGCCTCTGCCTGCGCCGCAGCTTTCAGAATGCTCTTAACCCCCATCGACACGCTCAAAACCACCTTGCAGGCCCAGGGCCCCAGCGGCTGGCGCATCCTCCGTAACCGCATCAAGACGGATGGCATCGGGAGTCTCTGGTGGGGTGCCTTCGCCACCGCAGCCGCCACGTTCGTCGGGCATTACCCGTGGTTCGCAGTCTACAACTTGCTTTCCGACACCATCACTGAGCCGCCCAAACAGCAGATTGGGTGGTGGTTGCTGCGCGCGGCCTTTATTGGCTTCTGTGCGTCAATCACGTCGGACACTATTTCTAATTCTCTGAGGGTCGTCAAGACGTATCGGCAAGTCAATGACACGCGCATTTCGTATACGGAGGCTGCAAGGAAGGTGATTAGGCAGGATGGGCGACTGGGTCTTTTTGGAAGAGGGCTTAAGACGAGGATCATTGCGAATGGGTTGCAGGGGATATTGTTTTCGATTTTGTGGAAGTTGTTTTTGAGGATTTGGGAGGAGAGGACGGGGTAGAGTCGAGGATGAGAAGGACTGGACGAGGTTGAGCGACTGAATCACCATGTCCAAGGTCATGGGTACAACACACGACGGATGTATGCATTGTCATGCGCGAAGCGAAGTCGCCGGATCTCGCCCCCCCCCCCCCCGCCACTTTCCTGTCGAGCCTGTGTATCTGCCATTGCAGCCTCAATCCTGGGGCAGAGGTATGTATGTACAGTGTAACTTCAGACATCTTAGTGCGCATTGACATATTTGTGCGCTTGGTAGGTTTGCCTTCTAGTTTTTACCATAAGCATCACTCAAGTCCTTAGCACCGCCAGCATAGATGGCGACGACATAGACACACTTTAGGTTTATCTCTCCTATAGAAAGAGCTTTACATCCGTCGTCACATTGTCGCTTCACACTGCCCACATTTACTTTTCCACCCCTTTATTGTTAATTTCTTCAGACTGTCATTTCCACCGCAAGATTTCCATCTGCAAAATATCCCTGTCAGTTCTCTGAAGAGACAATATCCTTTTGCCGATCGCCTTCTCATGGCTTTCGCTATTCCAATACCAAACTCCAGCTCCTAGCGCCTCATCTCAAATCCATTATCAGTCCCACTATCCTCCTCACTCCCCAAACTTCCTCTTTCTCACCCTCCCGCTACAACCACGCAGCATTTCCACCATGCTTTCCTCACTCCCTTCACGCACATCCATCCAAAACAATAGTCTCATCCTTCTGATACGCTGCGACCTCCTCCACACTTAACTCCGGTACATATATCCTCTCATTCCTCCTATTCCCCACCAGTTTGCCTAGTTTCTTCCTCTCCTCACCCACTTTACTTCCCCCCCCCCCACCGCAACTTCCTGTGCATCGAACCAAAAGTACGCGGCATCCACTCACTATCTCCAGCAATCACCCCATCTTCTTCTTCTTCTACCGAATATTTGTTTTTGAAAAAAGCGTTGAAGGCTTCCAAGACGGTGATAGGTCCTGGAATCCTGATCACCGCTCCAGCTTCGATTGCGCTGCGTATCTTGGCGTGGAAGAGGTCGAGCCATGCGTCTTCTTCGGCGGTGTATGGCTTCCATAGCTTTTTGCTAGATGTCGCATGTTGCGTGAAGACTGCATCGTGCTCCCAAAGGTCTGTTGGTTCGTCTGTTTCACGGCTGAGGTATGCGTGTGAGTTTTTGAGTTGTTTGGGAGTGCGTTCTAGGATGCTATTGGAAGATGTGGTGTCTTCCTGTTCGTGGGTAGTAGTATTAGTAGGCTTTTCCTTTTTTTCGTGTTAGTTAGGTCTTTGCTTGTCGTTGTTTGAGAAGATGGGTACCTTGTGTGGGCTGTTGACGTAGTTTAGATAACCATAGTGATCAAAGTACTTTTCTTCAAAGCCTGGATCGATTGGTTCCTCATCAAGGGCGTTTTGATGGCCATACGCCGTATCGGACTTCTTATGGGCCCGATTCTCGGCCGGCCTCTCATAGATCCCATTGATGGGATTCCAACCTGAAATGTGAGAGTGAGTTTGGCGGAGCGACACCATACTGAATCATACGCAGATGAAGCAGTTACTGTTGAGTACGTTGTTCAATATATGTAGATAGAAGCGAAGTGCTTCGAATTATACCCAGGTGTTATAGACGAAACCACTGGTAAAGTGAATACATCTGCAGTGTATTGCCCAAAGTGGCTACTTCATCCTCACCAAGCAGGTGAGCTGAGTGTTGATTGGTGATCAGCAAGTATGATTCACACTCATGTCCAGATAACTACGTAATCACAAATTTTGAACTCACCCTAGTGTGAACTGCGGAGCTCAAGGCTCATGTCCGCTGTCAATACGGTGCATTGACGTGTTTTGCACTTTACACCTGTTGCTCCTACGTTATAGCAGTACGTAGTAAACGATGTGCTTATATAATACAAAACAGTACTAACAGTGCGTTTGACTTGCAGTCTGAATGTTAAGTGTGTCAATTTATGTATCTTACATGGCATATGTTGTCGCATTTTAGCTATCAACTACACGCTAGTGGAAAGTCAGTCGCATTCAATCTACCGAAAGTACCTCTTACATATGTTTGAATTGAAAGACATCGTTCTGTTCCACACAACGGCGTATCTTTGGCCTGTCGGACTTAACTAAGCCATTGTGCATATCTCATTGTCTTTCACTCATATGGCTTTTTGGCACGAGTGCTTCTGCCTAAAAGGTACATTGTTTACAATCAACAAATTTTACTCTGAGATCTCAGCGATGAAACGAAGCATCTACTGCGGAAATTCATGCTTTCTCTGTGCTATATTATAGCCATATCTCAGTTTCCTGTAAATTTCACAGCATTATATTTCAACTGATTCTTAGTTCATAATCGTTTTTCTCAAGTCTCAACTATCCAGTCATTCATACTATCAAGCATTCTTCCCAATCTATATTCAGATAGTTCATCACTTATGGCCGGAAAAAAGCAAGAAGACGAAGGATGGAGGAAGAGACCTTATAACGAAATGACAATGAACGCCCACCTAAGGGTCCTGGGAAATATCGTGGGGTTGAAGAATACACACGCATGGTCAAAGAATGATATGGTGGCAGTCTTCGAGGCGTATGATCAGGTTAACACGATAAGTGTCCGTAATCTTCCAAAAGGCCACACACCGAGTATAAGGGAGCAAGCATCCCTGAGTGGGGTAATAGAGCAATTGACGGAAGACGGGAAAATTAAGACTTCTCAGAAAAAGGATGATTCGAACGCTAAACGAAAACGGGAAGATGGCACAGAGACGGGAAAAGACAAGCGTGCAAAGGTTTCATCTGAGGATGACGCCCATGTATCACCCTCAGACAGTGGGAAACCCAATGACGAACGCGCGCCTAGAAATGTCGCAGGCGCAAAAAGAGTGTCTAAGACAAGCTCCGGAGCAGGTGGAGTACAAAAGAAGTCCAAGCAGGTAGAGAAGCCAGCTGCAACCAAACCAACTGCAACCAAACCAAGATCCCGTCAAACATCAATTCGCAAGCCGGTACAAAACAAAAAAAGCATGGATGTTAGAAACCCGCAAAATGCAGAATCTCAAGACCCTTCGGCTCCAACTGTTCATTCACCCTTTGTGACGCCGGGTGCAAATCCAGGAGACGATGGCGACAGCTCTGATAGCGACAGCTCCGACTCTAGAGATGACAATGGAGACGATGGAGACGATGATGGCGAAGACATTGAGGAGAACGACGAAGATCCTGAGGCCGAGCAAATAAATCAAGCACCATCTAAGAACAAGGGTACATCCGAGGGCAGAAGCAAATCCAAGGACAAGCCTAGGCCCCTTGGATTGCACCTCGGAGTTCACAAAATCAGTAGGCATACTAGCTTGGATTGGGACCCTCTCGACGAGAGCATCCCAACTAGTCGACTTACGTGGTACGAACAAGAGCAGCGCTTTCGTGCGCAACAAGAGAAGGCCCATAAGGAGGCCCAGGAAAAGGGATTGCTATACAATGAAGGAGAAGAGCCGAAAGAGAAGCCGAAGAAGGAGTGGGATTGGAAGAAACAGATCCGTAGAAAATGATAGGCTGTGCGTGCTGGATCTAGCAGGGATATGCTGAATCTAGTATGGATGTTGCATGAATCTGGCTATCCCGCTAAGCATGCTAGGTTATTTCGAGGGCTTTGTCTTTTGTGTTTGGTCGGGGTTTTGTGATAGTAGTAACATCCCCCCCTGTTTCACACAAATCCCCCCGTGCCGCAAAGAACCTGCAATTTTAGTATCTTAGAACTCACGCTATCGCTAGTATTGCACCGCGACAATAATACACCTATTCTTAAGGCTATTCTCTACAAACTTAGGAGGGCAGTTACTAATATCACAGCGTGTTTAGTCCTTTTATCGCACATTCCGTACTCGCTAGTCTAGAGTTAATAGTCTTTACAACCCTATTATAGTATGATATATGCAAAATTTCTATATTTTAGTAGGATTAGATGATAAGGCTGTTATGGAAAAAGATATCTCTATATCTATCTAATATATTATCTTTAAAGAAGTTGTATTCTAGATTTGTTATGGGTTAGCCCTAAACAGGAAACTGTGAGGAACCAAAAGTTATTGTATTGCTTAAGCTATTGAAAAGGGGCTTGGGTATGGTCACTATTTATAATGTCCTGCCCTAGCCCTGCTTACTTCTAGCCTAAAGGGTAGGCATAGCCTACCCCATAACAAGATTTATCTAAGTTCTAGCTGTAATGCTATTCTATTAGCTTATAACTTTAGTGTACTTACGTGGATTTATACTAGATTAGATTAGGCTAAAGTATAGTGTTTAGTTCTTAAAGCTTCTATCTAACTACGTGCTAATCTATTTCTAGCATTAGAGCGAGTTCCTTTATCTTCTAGGCGGCGTAGTAGGGAGGGTGGTATTAGTGTCTATTGTGGTGGTCTTAGTGGTAGTACTTACAATACCACGATTATGGATATAGCCTAATTAAGGCATATTTTGACATAAGTTATTCCGTTTGATGCACTAACAACTTAGACTTCCCTATTATAGGAGGATACTATTCCGTATTATACTTAGTACTATTATAGGCGTGGACGACCCTCTATGTAGGAGAAGGCCTAAGGCTAGCAATTCCTTACCTTGGATAAAGAGAAAGCCCTTATTGCGTATCTTTTGCTAATGTCTAAACTTGGATAGCCTGTCCGAATTAAGTATATATCCTTATTAGCCTTTAGTCTCGCACGCTGGCGGACGACGATAACGACGACCGGCAAACCCATCCAACCCTTAGGCAAGAACTAGGCTCGGTCCTTTAAGAAACGTAACCCTAGACTAAAAAGGAGGAAGATAAAGGTAATAGACTAGAAACGGCATAAATAGAACATCTATAATAAGGTTATATACTAGTTTAAAGTAAATAAGAGAGTTCTATAGGACCCGAGGGTACGGCCTAAGAATATATATAATATGGACGAGACGGGCGTTATACTAAACATGTTTGGCTTAGTTAAAGTTCTAGTAGGTAAGGATGATCTCCGTAACTATAGAGGAGCAGGCATTAAACGCACCTAGGTAACTGCTATTGAGTGTGATGGGCTGGATAGCCCATCACAGTTCAGATGGCGGCGGCCATCTTATGTATCAACTACGCAACGATATCAGCATGCTCTGATATCTTGTGCCAGCCTTTTTGGCGCGGTGGGCGCGTTGTAGTTGCGTGCGCAGTCTAATAGAACTCGACCCGTTACATTGAGTGCATTAGTGCTGATGGCAGGTCACTGCCCCTCTTATTATCTAGCCAGCATCGACCTATACACACACAATTTATTTACTCCCAGCGGCCGAGCCGAAAGGGCTACTAACGCTAGTCCAACTTTACGCTACTTATACTACGTCTTAGTCTCCTTAGCCCGTCTATCTTCTTTAGCTCGCTTCTTGATGTAGCTTATCATCCAAGTTAGAGCCCTCACTTAATGTCATAGCACGCTTCTTCTCTACCTACTATCATTTCTTATCAGGTGCTCGTGGGTTATATTGCTAGTGGTAGACTAGCTTAGAGTCGGCTTCTATAAGAGATTCTCTAAGTGTTTAACATCCTATCTTTAGTAGCTAAAGTATACCTACTATTAGTTACACGAAGCTGCTAGTAAGTATATATTAATAGTTAAGGTTTACCTAGTAGTTAGTTAGATATTAGTTTATATCTAGTCTCTGTGCTGCTATTACGAATTATATCGTCGCTCGCACTACGTCTATATCTAGCGCCTATTTTGTGTCGTCTATCGCTACTTTACCGCCTAGGTAAAATAATATATTTCCTCTACTCATCTGCGTGCACTATAGCATCTCAGTTCGCTATGTTGTCTACTTTTAGTAGTAGAATAGAAAGTGCTCTATTATCTCTACTACCTATCCGCATTCGTATTAGTTAGTCTATTATTAATACTTTAACGTAGTATTAATACGTGTTTAGCTATGCTATGCTTATTCTAAGCTAGGTAAGTACGCTACTCTCTTTCCGCAAAAGTCCGTCGTAGAGTTGTCGTGTGTGCTTTCCTAGTAGTGCTATGTCAATTCGTTTAGAGTATGCTCCTACGCCTACTAGTACCTTCTTAGCTATACCTTATTCACTTACTATATTTTACGCAGTTAATTATATTCTAGGAAGCTGTATCTATAGCCTAGTGTTTAGTCTAGTTACTATCTTTACCTCTCGCTTAGCGAGGCTTACGAGCTCACTCTCTTCGCTTGTAGATAGCTATAGTACCATTACCGTGTTACAATCTCCTCTTAGTGTTCGTATAGTCTTATAGAAATAGCTAATATAACTTTGCCTAGACTGCTACCGCAGTCTTTTAAGTGTTAGTACAGCGACTTTGTTCCTTGTTATTAATGCAATGTTGCGAAACCTTAGCTTCGGCAGCCTGCTCAGCGCCTCAGCCATTACTGCCAGTTCTGCCGCATACGGGTTCTGTTCCTCTCTCTTGCTCAATGTGACAGAGAAAGATTGCGTTTCGTATCGACCCATACAATCGCGAGCACAATCGGTTTCCGGTTCCTACACTGGCTGCGTTCTCAGCACATGGTCTACATGATACGGCCTTACTGCATCTGTCTTAGTGCTCTGTACGGCTGAAGTGAAATATATCTGTTCCGTAAATAATATAATCAATGAGTTTCTAATGCGGATAAAACTATGGCTAATAAAAGGAAGCTAGTCATTACTTTGTACAGTATTAATAAGATAGGAATGTACAATGCATAGAGATAGAGGTTGTATAATTTATTACAAAGCGATAGCAATTACTTCACAACTAGTTATTAGATCTATCACTTAGCTCTGCACGTAAGGTTGTGAGCGCTCCGAGCGATACTAATCGCAACGGATGATCATCGCGAAGTACCTGAACTTCCTAGTATCTAAGTTATTATTGATGAGCAAGATATTCCATGGAACCTGTTATACTCACTTGCACTTAAGGTTTCCACATTTTGCCCACGTTTACCTCTATCGGGACGGTTGCAAATTTTGGCTATCGCAAGATGATGATATAATTCTAACGTAATGTTGTGGTTGACAGACCTGTGGCTGTGCAAAGTCTAGCAAAGCAGAACTAACCACAGCCTCGCAGCCCCACGATCAAACTCGGTTATCTCCCTGACGGAATGTCAACTAATAAGCTCATCCATGGTACACTCTCATGCACTTGCAGCTTCCGGTTTCTGTAAGCAGACGACCTTTAATCCCACGCTAAGCCTCTATCGCTGGGTGGTAATTGTAACGATGTTACAACTTCGCCAAGTATCGGACCAATCCCAGAGCCGGATCGGAGGTAGTATTCGCCGCCCTCTTTATTAACTACTTGTTGTGAGGTCGGATCCGATTCGGATCCGACTAAAATAAGTGTATAACGAGACACTCCCTGTAGCTAGCTCTGTAGACTTTTGATATCCTTTCGTACAAGGCCTATAGGTGTCTATTCGAATCAAGGCTCGTTTGATGTCCCATGCACTCCCATATGCCTCTGAGTGACACTACTGCCGATACTGATCCGAGTAGTCTTGCCTGCGCCGTTACAGTAATCTTACCTAGATGGTACTAGTTCCTACCAGCAATGCCATGGGTCGATCTGCTTTCAGACGCTCAGGCCAATCAATGTGTCATATCTATAGAGCCTAAGACTTTTCCAGATAAGCGTATGCCAGGCGGATCCATGTCCCGTGTGGGATGACAAGTAAGCCGTGTGTGCAAAGCGGAAGCTGCAAATGCATGAGAGTGTAGATTCGCTGCCTCACAAGGGTGTAGCCAGAGCGGGTTGGCCGCTCTCCCTGCTAGCGGTAGTGACACAAAGTACTATGACTGCTCGCATACTGACTTACCTATGTCAGTTAAACTATACCACCATCTCGGCGAAATAAATGGAATACTTTCAGATGGGTGAAAAAAGAAATCTTCTAGTCGCGATATATTAAGATAAAACACTGCTGACTCATTAAAGGTACCCTATTTATTTCGACAAGGTTGTGTTACAGCAGAATTAATTAAGAGGTGGGCAAATATCTAAAAGAAATAGCATTTTAAGTGATTATAGGTTCTAGTGAATCCTATCGCCAAGTATATAGGAAATCTGGGCAGTGAAGTAGGGAGTGGTGGGCGTAAAGGGGAGACAAGAGGAACAGCTATCTAGTGCTTGATTGCAGCAGCTTAACCACGGCCTCGTGACCTCCCTGAGCTGCCCGCGAGAGTGGCGTCCGACCGTCGCTGTCCTTCGCGTCGACCTTGATGTTGCCCGTCTCAAGCAGCAGCTTAACTACAGCTTCGTGACCTCCCTTGGCTGCCCGCGAGAGTGGCGTCCGATCGTCGCTGTCCTTCGCGTCGACCTCGACGTTGCCCGTCTCAAGCAGCAGCTTAACCACAGCTTCGTGACCTCCCTCAGCTGCCCACCAGAGTGGCGTTCGACCGTATTGACTATCCTTCAAATCCGGGTCGACAGCATCATTCGCCAGGAGCAGGTGTACTACATCATCATACCCGTTCCCCGTGGCCCATGATAGCGGCGTTAGACCGTATTGACTTTTCAGCGTGTACGGATATTCTACTCCAAATGCTCTCTTATAGCCCTCGATTGCTTCTAGAATCCTCTCTTCTGCTCCTTTGTATTCTCCAAGGTCTCCTAATATTAGTGCAATGTTCCATGTTCTAGTCGCATTGTCCAGACAGCCCTCCCTGCCTATCTTGAAATATTCTGACGCCGAATCGTCCGTTCGTATCAAAGTGTCATATTCTGCTGGATTTTGGAACTTTTCTGAGGATTTTTTCCAGTCCCAGAAAAGTAGAAAATCGCGGGTGAAGGTTGTTACTGATTGCAAGAGATTCGGCCACTCGATATATCCTTCCTCCATTCGTGTGTTCTCTAGAGGAGTAGCTGCAATCATAATAATGGCAAAATAGTCTTTGCATAATCTGATGATCGCAGGCTTTGAAGCTCCCTGAAGAAGGCAGATGAGGTCTCCATCTCGAATGGATTTTGCCGAGGGCCGGAGAGTCCAGCGCTGCGTTCCCGTATATTCCGGGTGCCCCAATATGCTCTTGAAAATAACATCCACACTCTGTCTGCCATCCAAAGCAGTATCTCTAAGCACTGAGGAGACTTTACCAAGAATACAACCCTTGCTCTTGATTGCTGCGACCTCTTCATCACCCCAAGCCTCCACAGATATCTTTTCACTGAGAAGAAACTTGGCGAGTCGCTGCAAGAGTTTCTCCCATGGATCTCCGTAGTTGGGCATCAGGTCAGCTTCGCTAAGATCATCAGAGCTCATGCCGAGCAGGGCATACACCTTATCGTGACGCTTGGTAGCCTCATGGGCATGATACATGTCCATCAATTCGCCTAGTGGGCATATATCTAGAGAAGACCTGCCTGAAATACCCACTGAGTAGCCAGGTCTAAAGATGGCTTCTCTGATTAGATAGGTTACTGAACGGATCAACCCTTGCAAGTCTGGGCGAGCTTCATACAAATCCTTTAATGCATCTACACCTAAGCAGAAAACGTACCCGTCAATCTTTTTAGACCCACACATAATCAGGACATGTCGAGCTGCGGCAATTTCTTGGAGTATCTGGATAACTTTCAGTAATTCGTATGAATGTTGTCAAGTGTCTGTTCCTATACCCAGATGCGCCGAAACCACGGTCGTTGAAGCAGTGCAAGGACTGCTTGTTGGATCCTTTTACTGTCTAAAGAGTTTGTAGACATCTTGTCCCTAGTAACTCGTATCTCTTCGAGCGCTAAATCGCTATCGTCTGCCGCCTCTCCTAGCCAAACGACTACACGGTTTGCTTGACCATAGATTTTCGCCATTGACTGAATCTGGTGCTCCTTCTCTTCCTGATTCGCTTGGTCGATGCAAATGGCATCTACCCATAGAATTCGCTCAATAGAGTGATTTCGAAGATGTAAAAGCGCCGCGCGAAGGTTGACCGTGACATCAAAACTATATTTGTATATAAAGATAGGTAGCTTCTCGTCTGGATTACCCCACACATATGACAGAGCATCGTACATATGAGTTCTTTTGCACGAGTTCGGTAGAGAGTATTCGAAGAGTTCGCATTGTATGTCAGCCGTCTCGTCTTCATGTGGCATTAGGCGAAGCAGGCGAATACTGTCACGTCCCGGTGAAAGCGGAGAATAGCGGTACTGGGACATGGTAATAGTATAATGTCGACACACTTGAGCTCATGTATTTGGATAGTTATGCTGAATGAAGTGATGAGGCTGGTGTTCTTGTGAAGGCGATATTCCTCTGCTGTTAGTGAGGGTTGCCTAGTCAGCTACTGGATGTGGTCAGTGCGTGCAACAGTTCACCCAATGCAACACCCCACCAAAATGCGTGCCCACCAAAAAATGAAGCTTTTAGCCACCACGAAAACGTTATTATCGCGAGATTTTTTGGTGGAGTATTAGCATGATAGTATGTTTAATATATATCTACAAATATTTGGTGGGTAACCGCACACTGCGGCCGCGGGTGGTGGTTTTGGTGGGAGGCTTGGCGGGTGGTTACACAGCCACAAGGCTTCGAAGCTAGAAGCTTAGCGTAGTGAAGATTACGCCGTAGACGGTTCTATACTAGCTATATACGGAAGCTACTCGCTAGAGAAGTACCGACAGGGGTAGCGATTATGTATGAATATGAGACCCACGCCGCACTAAGGGCTAGAATTAGCTCTATAGTATATGTGATGGGCTATGCCCTTGATGACTTGGCTATGCCAAGTAAGCGATTAGCGTGGTACGCGGGGCCCGCTGATCCCGAGTATATATATCCAGCTACCATGACAACAAGACAAGCTTGTTGTCTTGTGCCAACCTTTTGGTCAAGTGGACGGCGCGAGTAGCTGCGCGCATGGTTATTTTAACCCGCCCATCACAGTATAACTAAAGGTTTCCTTAGTGTATACAACTTTATTCGTTAGTATAGAGAGTGTAGTAGAGCTTAATAGATGCTATCTATAGTGGTGTTACTACTTTTCTCTAGAGATAGTGTCTTTTACGTATTAGCGCGGATTTAATAATAATAGCGGATTTTTTATAAGAAGAGGTGTCTATACCTATAGAAGAAGGTAAAAATATAAACAATCTATAAAGAGAGTATAAGAACAACGCGTAAATAGAGATATCCTGTCCCAAGGACAAAGTACCACTCTTTTCTTGCGGCACGGGGGGATTTGCGTGACGCAGGGAGGGACATTAGTACTAATCCGGCGATTTTACAACGGCTTTGTTTGGGGGATTATTGCAACGTGCTTTCTCATTGCAGGTGTTCTTTGTTTTGATAGTTATCCAATAAACAATCTCTTGTTTGTGATAAATATACAGACCACTCATCTGAGTAATATTATGGATGTGCAACTATTCCAGTTTTGGTTGTCGACATTGCTTCCTAATACGTACAATCAATAACTTGGCCCCTTCCTGTTTCACCGTCTTTCCAAAACATCACACTTTTCAACGAACGCAGGAAAGGAATTGATATTCACGCCATGTCGCAATCAAGACGGCCAACGAAAAACAACAGAGAGATTGAAGAAGCGCGGAAGAGGATAAGAGGGGAAGGCTACCCACGAGCAACAATTGAAAAAAGACCAACTACTCTCGAATTGCTAAAGGACGAGCTAAGGAGATGCCAGCAAGAACAAGAAAAGACCCGCGCTTTACTTCCAGACTTGATACGACAGAAGAACGAGTTGTTGAAAACAGGTGACATAAACGCATTAAATTTTTGGCGTGGGAAAGTTGGAAACAAGAAGATCACGCACGAATACCGCATAAAAGAGCATAATGTTTCCAGCGAGACTCAATCGCTCTTGGAAGACTTTCTCTACTTCCAAAACCATTCGCATCGACAAAACAGATACTCTAAAATCAAAACGAAAGTGACACGCGGTTTGAACCTTGACCATGAGAATATCAACAGTGAGCAGGTGGAGCCGACGGGTCGCCAAGACATACTAGATGCATTTGACGAAGCCAAGATAGGCGGACCGCGTCATCGCAATGGATTTTTGGATTGGGATGGTAACGAGATTACAGAAAGAGAATCAGGCCAAGGGCCCAGGCCAGTTCGGTTTAATGAGTTGCATCTATGGACTCCAGCGTGTCGACGGGTGCCGGTCGGTTTCGCCGCCACGAAAAACAGGCCAGTTGAAGCTACCAATCTCGTGCTGGATATAGACGATATCCATCAGAAGTGGCAGCGTATCGAGGAGGTTGAGATTCCTGAGAAAGGCCAGGAAGGCTTTCCTTACCGAACGCACATAGAAAGAAGGCAACAGGAGCAAGCGCTCTATAGGAGTGAGCTTGGGAACTTGAGACCTACCACTGCATGCTTGCACCTTACGAAAACGCCGGATGGCGTGAAACTTCAGGATAGATTCAGGGACATCCAAACACTGGACGGCGTCTTCATTTCAGCATTAGAGTCCTCATATGATTGGCGTACGTCATACGATCTACTTGGACCGGTGAAGAGTGGCATCTACGCAAACTTCACAATCAGTGACGAACGCGAGACAATTGAAGGGCCCCCAGAAGACAGCCTTAACAACGATGACAATCTCATCGAGCAACCCGAACTATCCAAGAAGTTCAAAGCAAAGGGAAAGGCGAAATTTTCTGTAAATAAGAAACCCAAGAAAAACACAAAGACGAAAGACGCAACAGAGGACCAAAACACTGAACACATGAACACTGAACACATGAACACCGAACACCCAAACACTCAACACCCAACCGCCGACCACCCGACCACCGAACCCCCAAACCCGTCTAACCCACCACCCACCACCGACAAACGAACAATCCTCGACTACCCCTACCCAGCCAACGAATTCCTCAACCCGCCCCCGACCCTGCATTCCAAAAATGCCCCCTCCAACAGACCGCTCACCCTCTCCACGCCCCTCCTCTCAATCCCCTGGTGCGAAGAAACGCCCGGTCGCCGCGAGTACCATGTCTCCATGCTTCTCTCGCCCTCCTCGCCCGTCGACTCTCCTCCTCACACGCCCATCATCCACCCCGCCCCTGGCAGCATCCCCGCGCCCTTTCCAAACGGAGAAATCAGTCCCATCGCCGAAGCTGCACAGCGGCGCTGCGCGCATGAGCCAGAGCGGTGTCGGGCGTGGTGGAGTCATGCGGCAGATGGGTGTTGGATTGTGGAGTCGGAAGCTGTAGGGCGACGGAGTCCGGTGCTACACCCGAATTTGGAGATCGAGGTGCCGGAGGAAGAGTTTGTGGTGCCGGAGGGTGGGAGGGGGGTGTATGAGGGGAGGGTACGGGATCATTATGGGGTTATGGGGGAGGGGTGGCCGAAGGTGGGGGTGAGGGTACCGTATGAACCGATGAGTATGGATGATGTTAGGGTGGGTAGTCAGAATGATAGTGGGGAGGATGATGAGTGGTTGGGGGAGGAGGGGGAGAAGGTGGTGCATGAGTATCGTGCTATGGCGGCGCCGTTGATTCCTTTGGTGGTGAGGGAAGGGGATGAGGGGATTGGAGGTGTTGCTGCTGATGTGGATGCGGATTCTGGTAATAGAGCAGGTTATGAGAGCGACGGGTCTGACTACGAAGGGGATGTGTTTCGTAGTATGTATATTCTGGGGCGTATTGGTATTCCGACTCAGACATCGGGATCACATCCGAGTCAGGTTGAGGGTGCGGCGGAGTCTTAGTAACGATGTTTTGTCATTGAGTTTGTTTTACGGTTATGGTGTTGCTGCGACTGTGTTTTTCACCGTGTATAATAGCAATGTAATCTAGTTGATTTAGTTGATTCCCTTAATTTGGATTATTCATAAAGTAGACTGATGTGTGCAATGCTTTGGAGTGAGACATTGTGCAGACAGACCCCCTTTTTTTCTAACAATACCATCACTTCCTACATCCACTGACTTCCGAAGTGTCTCACCTCGGCACCCTCAGGATATTCCGGATCCTCGCTCAGATGCACTACTCGCTTCTCTCTAACCTTCCTCCCCCCAGTTCCACACTCCATTTTCCAATACGCATCAATCTCCATCTTGACGTCCAATGCCCTTCTGCCCGTCTTTTTAGCTATGGCCCTCGCTTCAGCAGCAGTAGGCAGTCCCTTTGGATCCGAGCACTGTCTGCCATCAAGCCAATACAAGTACGCGTGTCGAGCGGATACGAGCTCACCAACAACCCAGGAATCAAGGTCTTCGGGTTTTTGGCCTGGAAGGATACGTATGTCGTATGTCTCGTCTACACGGCTTGGGGATTGTAGGGTTATGGTATCAAACGGTGGCTCATTAAGACCGAGAGAGTTGATGATACGCAGATCGTGAATGATGATATGGTTGACTGGCCCCTTGTCGAGATCGCCAGTTACCTGGGTGATTTCATTGGACTGGTTGCGGTGTACCCACATGGCAGTCATGAGTGTTGAGGGGTAGTAGTCGGCTTGGACCTTTTGTATACGTCTCAAGGGGAAGTCTTTGGGGTTCTGAATTGGGACTACTGTGCAAGCATCATAGTCTTCCTTGTCGTACATCGTATAGATTGGCTCCGGGGTGGACGATGAATCCAATGGTGACGAAGGCGCTGGGAGCGGCGAAGTTCCTTTTGTGGCAACGCGAGATGTAATGGTGTCAGGAGAACTCGACGCTTGTGCAATGGTGTTCCAAGTATCCTCCGCTACTTCCGCCATCTCGCCATCTTCCAAACCGTCGTTGCTCATCTCTTCGGTTAGGCTGTGAGCTGCTTCTAAATCAAGCCTTTCTCTCGTATCAGTAGTGTCTTGCTTCAGCGCATCGTCTCTATCCTCGTGGGCACGATCCAAGAGCGGCAGCCTGAATGTCGATCTGTTCTCTCTTTCGTTATGTACTCTCGCAAATTCCTCATATAGCTTTTGCATTTCTACATTTTCCATTCCAGTAATCAAGTCCCGGACCTTTTGTCGGCGTGGCTCAACCAAGTGTCTTCGGCGGTTTCCTTGTTGCATGATGATGCGCATCGTGTTGATGAGACCTTTAGCGGCACTGGCCGATGTGATAACGGAGAGTCTAGCTTCGAATTGTAAAAGCGATTGAGTCGCTCCAGGAACCGATCGAGGAGTGATCGCACGCGATTTTCGGTGCCGGGTGGGTTGAGGAAAAGGTTCGGTGATGTTGGAGGAGAGCATAGTAGTCGTCGTCTGCTTGTTGACTTCTCCAGCTGTCCGAGGTGGCTCGCTGTTATCCGACATGGTGTAGTTACTGACGATTGTTGTTCATGGTTAGGCAATCCTAAGGTAGGGCAAGACATGCGTTTGCTGTCCAAAGTTTGCGTACACAAACTTGGATGAATCACCTTCACCTTCACTTTGCTCTTTATCCTCATGGCTAGTCACACTGCCCCGAGTTCCTTGTCATCGCCCTGATACGCAATTGAGTGAACTGCTTTCCGACTCTGAATATTATTTTCTATCTACTATTACTCCGCTCCCTAACGAGGCCCAAACGGCCTAGGTCCAATGATCTGTCTCTTGCCTGCGCCAATACCACCAAGCTTGTTCTGATTATCGCCGCCCATGTATCCATATTGGTTGACATCCCAACTCTGCCCGGAACCACTTCCCGCGTTAGGGTCTTTGGAAGCTTCTTGCAGGGCGCGCTGCGACTCTTCCCATTCTTTTTGGCGTTCGCGCTCACGCTCCATCTCGCGCTCGAGTAGCGACTTAGAGGCCCATCCGAGAGCCTTTGTTTTTGTTTGAGCAGCGGCTCGGCGGTTGTCTTCGGCTCGTTGCTCTGAGGTGGAAGTGAGCTCCGGAGGAATGTGGGTCTGGGGCTTTGGAGGTGCTGGTGGTGGGTTAGAGGCTAGGTAGCGTTCAGTTCGATTTTGTTTGGTATATGTTGAAGGGTCGGGAAGGGGTCGAGCGGACGGTTCTGGCAGTGGACGGGTTGGAAGAGAAGGGGCAGTAGGAGTAGGCTCTGGTAAGGGTCGTGGTGACTGGGTTTTTGTTTGGTCCCATTGCTTACGCAGGTACTCGCGGTCATCTGCATGTGCCCAGGAAGCATTACTGTCTTGAGGTGAGGGGGCGCGTGGCGGGGGCTGTGGCCTGGGGCGACTCCGGGATCGGTCGCGTGCACGACTCTTTGAACGAGCGCGCGCTTTCTTGTCCTGCAGACGACCCTCACGCTCAGCTTGATACTGTCGTTCCCTCTCTTTGGCTTCCTCAAGCTGACGCTCAAGTTCCCGTATGCGCTCACGTTCGGCGTTGGGCTCCTCGCTGCTTCCACGGCGACTGCGCGGTTTGCTGGCTTGTTCGGCCTGGTACTGACTGAGAAACTGTCCCCGGAGCCTAGCATCGCTGCCGGCACGTTTCCGTCGAGTCTCGGCCTCAATCTTCTCCATGGCTTCACGCTCCTCGCGCTGGCGCCGCTCCTCCTCAAGTTGCCATTGCCGCTCCTGCTCTTCCCACTCACGCTTTTGCTGGTCGAGGCGGGCCTGCTTAGCCTCTTGCTGCTTGCGCGATTCTTCCTCCCACTTTTGCTCCTCTTCAATGCGGATACGCTCTTCCTCTGCTTCGCGTTCGATGCGACGCTTGTGCTCAGCCTCGTCGGCCTGTAGGCGCAGCCGCTCCTCCTCAGCGGCCTTTTCTCTTCGCAGGCGCTCCTTCTCTGCCATGTTGGGCACATGGGGGCCGGCACTGGTAATTTGGCGGCGAGCACCAAATGCGATGCCCTGATTCCCCTGACTAGCCCCACCCATGTAACCGTACTGATGGATGTTCCATGCCGGTGCTGTGCTGCCCTCGTCCACCTTTTTGCTCCAGCTGCTCACTCCGCCAGGTGGCGACTTGGGAAGACCATTCGAGGTATGTGAAGTGTCAGAGCCTCCGGTACGGGCGGCACTGAGGGCTCTTTCGGTGGTGGGACGGGCGAGGGGGTTGAAAGTGCTAGAGCCGCTCGTGTTGCTGGCTATGCTTGGTCCTCTGCTTCGACCATAGCCAGGCGATGTCAGAGCGGGGCTTTTGGGGCCAGCGCTTCCGGTGGAAGAGGGGCTAAGAGGGCCAGGAGCGGCGCGCTTGGGGCCTATGACGGTGGGAAACTGGGAGGGGTTGTGCGCGTTAGCTACGCAGCTAAAGGCGCTGAGGCACTGCAGGACCTGGGCCGGGTCTTTTGCTTCATAGAGGTCGACGGTGAGGAAGCGGTCGTGAGCCGGCATGCTTAGTGGGGGCTGTTCGCATGCGCGGAGGAAGTGGGAGATGTTCTCCATCTGGATGAAAGGCATCTGGCTCTTCTTGAACCTGACGGCGCCGGGTGTGGCCAAGTTGATGAGTCTGCTGCAGTCAGCTCTCCGGATCCGGCCGTGTGGTTGCTTTCCTTTAAGGCCGGCTCACCTGCATAAAACGGTCCCATCCTTGAGGGCATCGAGCAGATCGCCGGGCGGCAGTCGCTCGCCAAGTGTGTCTTCAATCCATATGCGCACTTCGTTTGCTGCTTTGGGGGTGTACCTGTCCATGCGCAGCTTGCGCATGTCCTGGTCCAGCGACGTTACAGACGCCATGGTGGGCGAGTCGGGCGCAAATCAAGGGTTGGGTGTAGGAGGGTGTGGTGGTTGGGCACGCAGAGCAGCGGGCGGTGGAGGGGGAAGAAGCAACTCGTCAGGCAGGATGGAATAGATGCACTATGTAGCTATCTATCTAGGCGACAGCTGATCTGCCGTGTGTATGGGGTTTGGGGGATAGGAGGGAAGGAGAGGATTGATATGAGGAGTATGCATATATCAGCCAGTCAGCCAGTCAGCACTTGAGCATTGGCATAAGTGCATGGGTGGAGAAGACGTGTGTGTTGTGTTGGTGGTGTGGGTGGGGACTTGGGGCGGGCGGGCGCACCAGCCACCCGCCACCCGTGTCAACGTCACCGGTTTTTTGTATTGCATTTTATGTTATGCATGTCACACATCGACATACATACATACATACATACACATTCACCCTCCATCCGCCGCCAACCATTCCCCCATAGTCAAACAACTACGCAAAACACCACAATGGCGGGCGCCCCAGGCCCTATCAGGCGCGCATGGTACCAGTGGAAGATGCAGAGGTTTCCATGGCGCAAAAAGTGGCTGGTTGGTGAGTGTGCCTCGCCCAAGCCTATCCCTGCTTCTCCCATTGCTTTGCCTTGACACGCCATCAATACAGGTTTTGATCTCCACGGAAACACGTTTTGGGAGTTCAAGGACGCCCTGCACTCGCTGCGCAATAGGAGAATTGCAAAGTATAGCCGGAGCACGCACTATGGCGACGTGCAAATACCACGTTGGTTGCCCTTCACCTGCCTCTGCCCAACCTGCTCCGACTGACTGGCTGACTGACCGCCTCATCAGCCTCATGGATGCAATGGCTACGACATACGCGCTTAGACCCGCCCTCGATTGCCGAACAGCAGCAAGACGTGGCGCGACAGGAGCGCATCAAACTTCTCGCAGCCCAAGCCGATGCCAAATGGGCAGCCAAACCCTCGGCCCTCGATGCCCCGGATAAACAACAGCCCGTGCTACCGTTGCAGTCACAGCATCCTACCACCGCCCCCTCCCCCGTAAATGACAACCAAGACATACAAGATACGGCAGCACCAAGACCGAACAAGGCAAAAGCCAAAGAGCCAGCCGACTCGCCGTGGAAACAAGCTGCACAGAGCCAGGACTGGCAACCACAAGGCTGGACTCCTGCTCCAGCCAAGCGACCATCATGACGGCTCCTCCCCGAAAAACTGTACAATACCTGTGACACGATACCAAAAACCTTCCACTTGTGACTTGCAATGCGCCCCTCATGCTATCATGCTTGTACTACGCCTCCAGTTTTATAAGAAAGAAAAGAACATCATGCCTTGATTCACTTCCACATGGCCTTATCATTCAAACACTACTCGCCAACACCAATACGGCAACCCAATGTACTTCAGCGAGTCGGAAACTCGAACTGCTGTACATACTAAGGCTCTTCTGGTCTTTACACAATGTCTGCTGCTGTTCTCGGGGTATGTATACATCTGAATGCATTGACGTTCCTGCTTCTCGCCTCCACAATCTCCGTTCCATCAGTTGTTACATAGTCCTCCAGTATCTTGCATAGTCTCCCCTATTTAAACAACCCTCCCGTCCCCGCACACATCTCCGCTCCAAGTGTATCATTCATCAAAGTCAACCAATGGCACTCCAACTTCTTCACGTGAACCAATGATTAGCACACGTCGTCGCCAGTATTCCATCTACCTACCATAGTTATTTACCAACCAATTTGCAAGTGTTGCAATTTGCCAAGAGGCATGATTGGATCGTGTTCGGGGTCGAGTTTCTGTCCGAACACCACGCCACGCAATCACCCAGCAATGCGCTGGTACTTGGTTGGCAACGTGCAAAGGCGGCTAGCAGCATTGCTGCGAGAACTATCATGTATTTCATGTTAAAAATCGGATATTAGATTCAAATGTATTTCGAGAGCCGCTCCAAGTTAAACGTCTTCGTTTGTCGTTGTATGAATGGCGACTTCCCCGATACTTTTTTGGGCGGAATTAACAGGACCTCCATTCCCCTATATACCTCTCAAGGTGACATAATATCCATCATAGCCGCGACTCATTGTACTTACTTGTTGTGAATCAACTCGTAAAGCACCGCTTGGCAATGGTCTGTTGCTATTTCCCGTGTTGCGTACAAGCTAGACGGCAACAACAAGTGAGGGCTAGCAATGCCCGCTAACTCTAAGACAGCATGTCAACCGAAGCATGGATACTTCTTCACAAAGGCGCTCTCTTTCTACATCCTCTATGAATTTAAAATATTTGAAGTTCGAGTATGAAGAATAATCCCGCTGCACCTAAAGTCATACACCAAGAGTATGAGCGTCCACATAATACCATATGGGCCGACTCTAACGGTACTATTACTCTAAAAAATCACCTCTAACAGAAAAGCCAAATTTCCGCTATAAATACACGATACAAGGGTAATAATGTGTACGACTTTACACGTATAAGTGTACGTGGATTGATTCGTTTAGATGTAAGTAATATTCAAGATACACATTATTGGATCAATGGCGCCTTGTAAACCGAAAAGTGGAATAGTGGTGCAAAACAACCAAGACTTATAATCGTACTACTCATTAGCAATATTATTGCTCACCGCGGATCTCTATCCTGTCGCCTAATAGAAATACTCCATTTTCAATATCGACCCACTCTGGGCTGCATATAAGACAAACTATAGACACCAATTTAGGGCTGAATGAAGTTTTGATAAGGATGCTTAGAAAGACAACATGTCTTATATATTTTGGCAAAGATTTTATATAACTATGCGCTAGAGATTTTGTCTGGACTGCCCAAGACCTAGCCACTAGAACGTATGTAACGATGGAATGTTAGAAGAATCCAAGGGACAAATGCAGAAGCTAGTACAATGTTGAATGGCCGCAAAGGAAATACTGAAGCCTACATTCAAACTGACCAAGAGCCTTCGCGTAGTTAAATCAATATAATTCATCATCCAAACAGCCACTGATCAGAAAGGGGTCTAGTTAGTACAGTAGGCGTACTTGATCCTCACCGTAATCCAGCATGAAGAAGCTCTAAAATATTTTTTTGAGGAATAAAAAGCTTATTCATCCTTGGTCGTCAAGTGTACTGCAATACTGTTACGATACTATCTATACTAGTGGAGGACGTGATTAGTAGTCCTCGTTGACTCAAATCTGTCACACATACCTTTATATAGATTCGCTTCGCTCCAGAGAAGCCATGTCTACTTGATAAAGAGCCGCTTCGCTGCAGGTACAAGTGCGTTTCGTGCTGCCAAGTCTCATGATACAATATACAAAGATGGAGGTATTCAGTGAAATCGTGATGAAAACTCCAAAGTGCTATCAGCAAGAGTATCATAGCGCTTTATTTCCAATAGGCAAGTCTCACGGCAGTCGACTGCGTCGCCAACTGTTTCCATACAGCAGAGTGGAGGCAGCGCCAAGACGGTCGGCGAAAGTGGTGCCGACTAGCTTGAGATTCTTCCAGTCCAGCTCTTGCGACGCGCTCACCACCCGGCGCGCAACTCGACAACTCAATCCGTGAATCCAGGCGCTCCACACATAACGACCAAATCTATTGCGAAACCACGATGCCCAAGTTCTTCTGCGATTACTGCGATGTCTATCTCACCCACGATAGTATGAGCGTGCGCAAGGCGCACAACAACGGCCGCAACCACCTCCGTAACGTTCAGGCCTACTACGAACAGATATCGAGCGACCAGACACAGCAAGTCATCAACAGTATCACCGATGCATACAACACAGAAGGCCAGGCAAATCCTTTGTTTCAACAAAATCTAAACGGAGGATTTCCTGGGGGCCCAATGGGCGGAATGCCTGGTATGCCCCCGATGGGTATGCCCGGCTTCCCACCGCCAGGTACGTTTTACGCGGCCCTGAAGTGGAGGATCAAGATGCTCACATAAATCAGGAATGCCGCCTATGGCTGGAATGCCCCCGCCGTTCATGGGCCGTGGTGGTCGTAAGTCAGCGTACACCGAGCATACAGAGCCCTGTGACTAACTATATGGTAGCGCCCATGCCTCCCAACGGAATGCCGCCTTTCCCTCCGCCCAACGGTATGCCTCCAGGCCCTGGTGGTGTACCCCCAAACATGCCCCCGTTCCCACCACCACACATGGGAGGCGGCCCACCTCCTCAAGGGATGCCGCCATTCCCCTTTCCTCCACCGGGCAATGCTGGCTCGCCACCTGGAGGTATGCCTTTTCCACCACCAGGTGGCATGGGCATGCCGCCTGGAGGACCGCCTGGAGGGCCACCTGGCAGATATCCTCCTGGACCACCGGGACGTTAGAAGCAGCCCAATGCGCAGACAGGAGTTTCAACCGACTTTAGCCATGATCAATATGCGCTTACATTTGGCAGCGGAGGGCCAAAGGCAAAGAGAGAGAATGAGGATGATCTATCCAATGTGTCTACGTGGGGAGGAGAAGAGCCTCGTTCAGCTGCTACAGGCGCGAATACCGTGATACCGACAAGGTTTAAGCGGACACAGCTATAAGCACGCCAGGCTTGCGGTGGGCACAAAGCGCTATGTCAGCTGAGGCATGTGTGCGTCTTACTCATAGTCCGCTGCACTTCTTCAAGCTCACGGTCGATGTGGTCATACTTACTCAGCAGTATTGGTGAAAAATACAAAAGGCATTGTCAAAACAGGTGTCAAACTCGTCCAATTAGCTATATTACTGGCCAGTATTTCTATTTCCAAATATCTTACTCGCGTAAGTGTCGACATCCATCATACACATACCCAACTTGTGATTTACTGTCTCTTCTTTGCTCCACCAAACTCCCTCTCTCGCAAAGACTAGCCTGTACTTCTTGATGTCGTTGTCCGAGTCTGCCTTGAGCTCGTCCACTAGATGTGAGATTGTCCATTCTTCTCTCTCAACCTCTCTCCCGCTAACTCTTTCAACGATCTCAGCCAGCTGTCCGTAACTCAGTGTGTCTCCGGCAATATACAACACACGGCGTTTTGCCTCGACGTCCTCGTTGACAATCCTCGCCAACACTCTTCCAATATCGTCCACGTCTGTTATGGTGACCCTATGGTCCCAATCTCTCAAGCACCTTACCACCAGCTTGCCCTCCTTTTCGTGCGTCCTGTCTACAATACCCCAGAACGGCTCAAAGAGAAAAGACATGAAAATGCCAGTAGAAACAACGGTCCACGTGACATTGCTTTCCTCACCTTGCTCCCGCAAAAGGTTGCGAACATCACGCTGCGTGCCAAACAAGGGCATCAACCCCTGCCCATCACCAGTGATGTCGTAGTCGACGCCCCACTGCCAGGGAAAATACCACAAATCGCTCTCGCCCTTTGCCTTCTTGATAGATCCGGCTCTCAGAACTTCTTGTGCGAGTTTTACAATGGTTGTTGGATCTGCACCGAACCCAGTCGCGCTGACAATAATGTCAAAATTTGCAAAGGTTTCTGAGAGGCTTGCAGAAGGACCGGAGAGGTCGATCGGAAGCAAGGTGAGAGAAGGGTGAGAAGCTGTCAGGTAGGTGTAGTTGGATGGAGAGCGGATACCGAGAGTGATGCGGATGGATGGCAGTGCAGAAAGATGAGTGAGTATTGCATTTCCTAATTCCCCGGCGCCTAAGAGTAGCAGTTTGGCTGTCGTGGTAGGTTTTTCCGATGACATTTTGTGTTATGTGCCAGAGGCTTGCGAGCTGAAGTCACTGTGGTTGATTGAGAACGCAATAGATTGATCCCGCCCAAGCTTATATACATGGACTGCCAGTAGAAGACATACTGACTATGTATTAGTAAGTGTCATACTATGCTTCCGCCTGGCGCTGCGTGTGGCTTCTTTGCTATGAGCAAGGAGCACGGAGATAAGACCAGTTGTCTCGGATTTAGTGGACTTTGTCGCACATGGAGCTGATCGTCAGCTGCAGAAAGAGGAGGTCGGGGACGGATCATCACAGACGGCTTGGATTCAATGGAGAAGAAAAAACCAGTGTCAAAGACATGGGCTGCCAAAAGTCTTTGCACAGTCAGTTCAACGCGAGGACTTGAGCAAGTTTCTCTAGTTTTGATTCGAGACTGATCGAGGTTTCGTGGTAGCAACGGCTCAGATGCAAGTTGAGGTACGTCACAATCACCAGCCTTCACATACACAGTCATTTCACCTAGGAACTCGGCATCAATGCTGCGTCCGGAAGAAAAGTACAGAGGGCTTCGCTTACCCACCCACAGTCCATGGGCGTGCAAGGCTGGTGCTTTAGCGCTAGTCAGCATCTGGCACTAGCGCCTTCGTCTATTTCGCAATTTCGACGTCCCGTTGTGCGCTCCTCGTTGAACAACTTCAGGACTGTCCATCAACATCCGAGTGCGCCCACGTCCATCCTCAGCAGAAGCCACTCATCACAATCATGGCCGAGCAACTCGTACTCCGTGGTACCCTCGAGGGCCACTCTGGCTGGGTTACCTCCCTTGCTACCTCTCTGGAGAAGTGCGTACCTCCGAAAATATCCTGTACCGTCCAAGATGCGCAATTACTGACATGCGACCAGCCCCAACATGCTCCTGTCCGGTTCGCGTGACAAGACGCTCATCATCTGGAACCTGACCCGCGACGAGACCTCGTACGGTTACCCCAAGAGGAGTCTCCACGGCCACTCCCACATCGTGTCCGACTGCGTATGTTCACCCGCACACACAAGGCAATTGGCTAGCTAGGAAGCGAGAAAAGCTGAGCTGACAATTGCTGCACAGGTCATCTCTTCTGACGGCGCCTACGCCCTCTCCTCGTCCTGGGACAAGACCCTCCGCCTCTGGGAGCTCTCCACTGGTGTCACCACCCGCCGCTTCGTCGGCCACACCAACGACGTCCTCTCCGTCTCCTTCTCCGCCGACAACCGCCAGATCGTTTCCGGATCGCGCGACCGAACCATCAAGCTCTGGAACACCCTCGGTGACTGCAAGTACACCATCACCGACAAGGGCCACACCGAGTGGGTCTCGTGCGTTCGCTTCTCCCCCAACCCTCAGAACCCCGTCATTGTCTCGGCTGGTTGGGACAAGCTCGTCAAGGTACGTGAACACAACCCTTTCACACTCAACCCCCACCCTCGTTTTATGATGATTTTCTATGTATTTGCTACTTCAGAGCTTCGGCTATGAGACAATTATCACCTAGTACTGATTTGATGCTTCTCTCCTCGATTCACTACCAAGCCATTCGACCATAGGAAGCTAACATCAAACAGGTCTGGGAACTCGCTTCCTGCCGCATCCAGACTGACCACATCGGTCACACCGGTTACATCAACACCGTCACCATCTCGCCCGATGGCTCCCTGTGCGCCTCCGGTGGTAAGGACGGAACAACCATGCTCTGGGACCTGAACGAGTCCAAGCACCTCTACTCCCTGTCCGCCGGTGACGAGATCCACGCCCTTGTCTTCTCGCCCAACCGCTACTGGCTGTGCGCTGCTACCGCCTCCAGCATCATCATCTTCGACCTCGAGAAGAAGAGCAAGGTTGATGAGCTGAAGCCCGAGTACATGGAGGTTGGCAAGAAGAGCCGTGAGCCCGAGTGTGTCTCCTTGGCCTGGAGCGCCGACGGCCAGACCCTGTTCGCCGGATACACTGACAACCGTATCCGCTGCTGGGGTGTCATGGCACGGGGATAAGGTAGTGCATGTTGGGTAGTGCAATGGGGCGTAACGGGAAAATCACGATTCCACATCTTCTGTAGCATGCCATGGGTTATGATTGATGCTCATGCGGGATGGGTTTGGGGCTCTTCCGGCATTAACACGTCCAGGCGCTTAGAGTCAATGAAAAATCTCAAAGTCCAACAATGGAACATCATCACCGTGTGATGGTCGTCGCGTCTTTGTAGCGCTGGCTCAGAGCGACGCTCGATGACTGCTTTTCTGAGATTTGGTACTCAGTTGCAGCCCATCTCAGAGCGATGCTCGGACGGCTGTTTTCTTTTCAAGGCACGATGTTAGGGAAATTCTTTTGACAGTAAAAGCATTCTTGTATCGCTGTGCGTATTGTGTGCGATGCATATCCCCTCTTGAGTGAAGTGAGTTGTTCATGATGTGCACAGCAATATCAAAAAGGTATTTCGCACTCTATATCAAGTTGCCCATAAGGTGAACATTTTCCGCTTTTGATTTCACGCAAGTGTCTCTCTCTTCCTGCTCATCCAACCTTACAACTTACTAAACTTGGGCGTCCTCTTCTGCATCCCACTCAACAGCGCATGCTTGACATCGTCCGTCTGCAACATGGCCGCATTCCACACGACTGTGTAATTCAAGCCCTCAGCCACCGTCTTATCCCTCGAATAATTAATAATATGCTTGGTACCCAACGTAGCCACGGGACTCTTGCTCGCGATCGTCGCCGCCAACTTCGTCGCTTCGGCCACCGCCTCCGCCTTGTCTTTATACACGGCAGACACGAGCCCGTGCTGCAGTGCCTCGCTTGAGGGGAAAATGCGTGCGGATAGGCTGATGTCTTTGACCCAGGAGAGGTTACCGACGGAGTGCGGGAGACGGGAGAGTGTTCCGATGTCTGCGGCGATGCCGATGTCGACTTCCTTGACGGAGAACTTTGTTGTGGTGGTGGAGACGCGGATGTCGCAGGCGAGGGAGAGGTCGAGGGCGAGGCCGAAGGAGATGCCGTGGAGGACTGCTATGACGGCTGCGAGATATATGTCAGTCAAATAACTCTTAAATTAATTTTTTTTGACGTTCATTCAAAGCAATGAATAAATCTGGTACGGGAGTGTTTTTTTTTAAAAGAAGAACGTACGTTTCTCGCACTTTTCAATATCAGTGATGCAATCTTGGAATTCCTGAATGTGGCGGCGTATCCCAGTTGCTTTGCGGGCGCCGTCCAACGGTGTCGCATCTTCTTTCTGCGCGAGGGCGCCGTCGTTGGATGCGGCTTGGACGTCTAGACCGGCTGTGAAGGCGCGGTCGCCGGCACCGGTTAGGATGACGGCGCGGACGTTGGGGTCATGGGAGAGTTGGCGGAAGATGGAGGAGAGGTTGAGCCACATGCTTTGTAGGGTATGTTAGTGTGGGATTGTGGAGAGAGTTTTTTCTTTTGGAGCTGTGACCATCTGGTATGTACAATATACAGTCTTTCGTCTTTTTCTTGGACATCGTTACAGTTGAAGATGTGTTGTATGTACTTGCTCTTCGACCCGCATGCGCTCGTCCATTAGATAAAAGAATGGAATTGTGTACTTACACCTCCTTGAACGCATTCATCTTCTCCGGTCGATTGATCTCAACGTGCGCTACATATTCCACTGGGAATGAAACGTTGAAGAACTCTTTCTGGTAAGCTTCTGCCATGTTGTCGTCGTACTGTTTGGCTTTTTGTTGCTCCTTGCTCTTTCTATTTGTATAATATATCAGGTTATTACTTGCTAAAGCGACCAGGCGTTATCGAAACTCCTGCAAATGGCTTTTCAAAAAGGTCGTGTGAGTGGTAAAGCTATGTGTTGTTGTCGGTTCGTATGGACGAGTGGTTCGGCTGAGGGAGCTTGTGATGGGGAGATGCCGAGGTACATCGGATGTGGTTAGTCAGTTTCCGGATCATGTCTTCACGGATCTATCATCGTTGATGGTCAATAGCAGGCGAATAGAAAACGAACATTTAAAAATTCTTAATTGGATAACCTGTCCATATTGCAGTTGCTATGCGACCTCGAAATTTTGAATTCTTGTGGTGACGCAAGGTACGCGCAAGAGTAGACGCGCACTAGTACTAGCTACCTATAATTGACCTTATGCTTTCCAAGATTTTTGCCATACGAGCATCTTTCTTGATTTTCTACTTACCAGTCGACGGCTGGAAACAATGGGTCATCGTTCCAAGAGTCCCATACTCGTGCTGGTGAGCGATGTCTTAAAACAAGACTTGGACCATATGTAGACTGATCATTAACGGCCTGGCGAGTGAACCATTCAGTTATGCCATATACTCGGCCTTTCTATAACCTCTTCACGCATCTACAGCTTTTCTCAACTAAATCTCGATTAAGTGGCTATTATAGTTCTCCGAAACAACGAGAAATTGGTGGTTACTCTAGATACTGGCTGTACTGATGTTTGTAAACTGTGCGAGCGTTTTTTTGACATGAGGCACATTGATCTTCAAGCTCACATGGAAAAGGAAGAGAGCTATTACCAGGAAGGATCAGGTTTATTTTGAGATATTCAATGAGACTTTCAAATTACTTTGTTATTTTACTCGTATATGTTTAGTACCTAGATATAGTTACTGTTTGCATTTCTAAACTTGAGCGGCTAGGGTGACTTCATGAGTAAGGGCATTTAATTCCATGTTCTAACACTGAATTTGATAAATGCTAGATGTGATAAGAGTAGTGTGGTAGATATGCAGTCAATTCTAGGAAAGATATAGGAGCGGTAGAATATAATCGATATTTAGGCATTATATCCAGCGAGCTTGCTGATTCTATGATGCGATTTCGTCCTAACAGTTGAGAATCAGAAGCAACCTACCACTTCCACCCTCGGTCATACCATGTACAGTTCTACTCACAGAATAAAACTCTCCATAGACCAGCTCGTACGACACTGCTCTGGTTTTGCTGCAAATCATCAAACCTAAATCTGTGCTTGGCGACTGCTGGTGATGCAGGGTTTTTAGCGGTTGAGAGCCACGAACACGACGACGATACAGTCAGCATGCAGGATACGTCAAAGATCAAAATAGTACTATGAAGCCCAATTAAAGAGAAAAACTACTATCACTCGAGTACCAATCAGCCGCCATGAGCGTAAAAAAGTCTCCGCACTAGAGCCGGAGTCTCGGCGTTCACGTCGGGCGGATGATTGCACGCGCGCTGTGGACACCGAGATGATCGGGTAACACAACGGACCCTGTGTTTTCTTCGTGCAGAATTACCCCCTACAGACCAGGATTCGCATGTCTGCTGTGATAGGGATGTGGCTGTGCTGGAGTTACACGAAACGGTTGTGCAGATTAACCGTGATGAACGTAGAGTTTGCGTCTCCTGGCCGGGCGAAGGGGTCAGGGATCAGCAACGCAGGATATAAGGATGCTCAAGAGTCTTTTGCTTGAAAGTCGATCAGCGCGAAGAAACGTGTTTCAAAGCCGTGTGCGCCAAAACAGTTTGATTTTGGTTGTTTTGTTTTTCTTTCTTTTAGCTGTCCCTGAGCGATCTCATGTGGTGGAAATAGAGGAGGGGGAAGGGGACTTGGCAGGGCTGAAAACGCCAGACTGGGTTTCTGTCCACCCGCACTTAACACAAACGGCCATTGCTTCTTTTTTGCACACAGAACACAGGGATAATGGGAGAGTAACGCCACAGGGACGCATCTGGGAAACATCCAACAAGCAACGAAATTATACAGGAATCCGTTGAAACGGGCGGATAGTGGCACAGTCCAATCAGTGGGTTACCCCACCCACGCTCTTGTAACGGTAGCATTGTTAAGACCACGGCTGGTACGTCCTCGACTGAGATTGCACTCCTCGTAACGGACCAGCTCCATAAAAAGTGTTTTGAGGAAATCCTGGCGAGCATGCGCAAGTGCAACGCGCCTCAATTGCCAAAGTTCCATGGCGGAAGAATTCCGCAAAGGAGCAAGTGCGCCCTCGTACTGTTTGTCCGGTTATTTGCTCTCCTTGGTGCTAAATTTTATTGCGGCGTGCGTGGCGCAACACGTCAATGGCACTGTTAAACTTTGTTGAAGGTGTATATAATACATATGTCACGCACCCGCGACTATTAGCGCCTTCAAAGTCAGGCCAGGTGAATGCTAGTTCGTGCTATATAGACGTCATCAGTGGCTTTTTGGCCCCCTGCGTTGTTTTTTTTGCCAGTGTGATTTGTCTTTTGGTGTTGCACTCTGATGGTCAGTTTCATGCCAATTGTTGCATCCCCGCCGAAAATCCTCAACACTTTTGTGACGGATGTCTATTGAGAGAACAAGGCAAGCCCTATGGCGGCGCAAACATGCCAATTTTTTTATTTACCCTGGAAGACGTCGCGTGTTGGTTGCCTGATACTCTCGCCGTAGTCATTCGGCGAGGAAAACAGAGTCGGTGACGGAAATAGCACCGTATGCCGTGAATCCCGTGAACAAGTACACTATAGTCTGGTAAGTACTAGGCTCAGGCCTTTGACAGCCATGAGGATAAAGAAACAGGTATAGCGTTATTGCCTCCTCGTGTCCAATGGCGCCAAGGTGGGGTAGTAAGCACATACGGCAAGTTGATGTTTGGATCCATCCTTCACGCCACACTTCTCGCACTACTGCAATGGAACCAGGCGCGCAGCGAATATTGAATCCTCAAAATCGCTCGTTACTCTTTGATTAAGAATACGATGGTATATCGAGGGTTAATTTGGATTCTGAATCCCGATGAGCTCAAAATAGCAGTATCTAGATCGTCCGAGCGGAAATTGCAGCCCCGCAGATAGCGCCATAATATTATGAGCAATAGTGGGTCTCTGGTTCTAAGTAGAGCAAGTACTTCCACACCAAGGGATTGTCTACAATGCTGCCAAATGGGCGCAAACATACATCCACACGTGTACGTGTACACATATACAGACCGACAATTAGAAGCACCGGCTTTTGGTCCCGTACGACACTATTAGCTGGCGTTGATAGCCCCTTTTGGCTCGTCACAAAGGCCCCTAAAGGTCATAGCATGCAGCCCTTTCCCCGCTACGGGGAGTCCGCGGTAGTCTGGCCCATTCAGTTGATTTGTTGGCACCAAGAGCATCATGTTCCCCTCACCGAGAGACTGTTAAAGTTCATGTACATATGTCAATTGCCAACAATGACGACTAGGTGCCAAGTCATGGCAATGGCGGCGCACGTGGAGTACGTGCTCCAAATTCCGAGGATGACACTGGGCCGTTCCGTCCATGGTTCTATATCTGGGTCACTGGCAGTACCAAATCGCCAAAGCAAAGTTGAAGAACACAATGTCTCGGCCCACCTATGCGGCTTGTGGACTCCAACTTTGGTCAGGATCTAATCGTCGCCGTAAGACAGGGCTTGTAGGAAGAGGTGCCGGCCGCCTTTGAGGATAGCTATTCGTTTGTCATTCACCATCATCATCAGCATTCGGGCGCCGGCGACCTCCTTGCTTGGTTTGGTTTCGTACCCGGCAGAAAAGTTAGGAAGCTAGGCCATGATTTACGAGGACACTCCTGGGCAGCACAAAGTAAGCCTGACAAGGAAGCTCGGCAACGTCGAATTAGCCACAGGCCAGAAGCGGCTTAGCCGCCTCCTTTCCCATTCGCCTCCGGTGCAATAGCTCGTGTAAGCTGACTTATTTGCCAATACAACGTTGCAGACCTAGGCCACCTAGGGACGAAGCGTTTTGTCCGTATTTCCAGAACCCATGACCAGGTGTCGAAAGTGGGAACCCGCTGGGGCCAGTGGGCCGTAATGATCTGCAGGACAAAGCGCCCACCCACGCTACAGGCAGAGGCGGCCGGTTCATGCAGGTCCAGGTATAAGGATGACAGGCCCGCTCAAGTTCAATCTCTTACCTTTTGGGCAGCTTGCTTGTCTTCTCGTCCACACGCAGCTCCCGTTCGCTTTTAGGCTACAGTCACTCGTTTTGTTTCTTACCAGCTTTGCCGTTTGCGTACCTACAATTACATCTAATACAACACCTCGCCTTTACCATGCGGACCGGAGTTCTTTTGGCCATGGCCGTTGGCGTTAGCGCCCTGCCGTCACCCCAAATAATGGCAGCATCCTTGACAGCACTATCAGCAAAATTATCCGATGATGCGACCAACTTGTTGACGGATTTGATCCACGGTGTGGCTAAGGCGCTGCCCGCTGAGGCCTTCAAGACGGAATATTCGCACACGGCGGTTCCTATCGAAGAGGCGAGAGCTCGTTTAGAGAATTACACTTTCAACGTCACCGATGTGATAGAGTCAATGCACTTCGACAAGCGCCAGAGCGCCCAGAGATGCTCAAACCCTCGTATCCGCGTAGAATGGGACAGAATGAACGATACTGACAGGCAAAAATACTTCGATGCCTTCAAGTGCTTGATGCGCCGCCCTCCCTCGGGTCAATTTTCTCAAGCGAAAAGTCGATACGAAGACTTTACAGCGCTGCACCAGATTCTTACACCCAACATCCACACCAACGGCAAGTTTATCTTCTGGCACAGGGCTATGCTTCTTCTTTTGGAGCGTACCATGCGTAGCGAATGTGGGTTCGATGGACCCATGGCTTGGTTCGACGAAGCTCGCTATGCTGGCCGCTTCGCGCAATCCTCCCTGTTCAATTCCCAATGGCTTGGAGGCCTCGCAATCAACAACCAGTGTGTAAGGGATGGTGTAAGTTTAGACCAATAATGCACTCCCAAACCAACAACTAACTCGAGTCGGCAGCAATTCGCCAACCTTATCTGCAATGTCGGCCCCGGCTCATCCAATCAGCCTCATTGTCTGTCGCGCAACGGTGACGGCGCCCTCACCAAGAACTGCAACCAAGAATACGTTGACATTTGCAACAACTACCCCGACTGGGCTGGAATGAGCAGATGTGTCTTCCAGGGTTACCACGCCTTCGGCCACAACGGAATCGGAGGCCCTATGATGGATGTACAGGCCTCTCCTTGTGAACCATTCTTCTTTCTCCACCACGCTTATGTCGACCGCAATGCACGCCTCTACACCAACAAGAACCCACAATGGCTCTCTCAAATGAACGGAGTCGACGCTTCCGACAGACCACTCACCCTCGACACCACCGTCAACACCTACGGAATGATGCCAGATCTCACCATCCGGGACCTCGTCGACACTCTTAGCGTGCCGCTCTGCTACAGATACGACTACTAAATCTCCCTTTGTCTTGTCTCATGCCTTGCGGCGCGTCTTTGGCCGTCTCTCGACTCCATTCCGCAAGAAAGCTGTTTTTCCATTTTTTTTTTTAAATACTATAATTTCAAACCCTGTGTATACATTTTACTCTTCCTCTATGCCTCCTCTTTTTGACTTCTAAAATAATACAAATCGCGCCGAATACGCCATGGTGAATTGAAGTGAAATGGTTGCTGCGCCCAGGCAACAAAGGTCTGGTTGTGAAAGATTGATGCTAATGACTTGGGACTGTATAAGACCGCGTTTGGCTACCGTTTATAGTGCGCATGTAATGTGAGCAAAGCTGAAAGTCCTTACAGAGGAACACAACTCGTGGCGCACCAGATATTTTGAGATAAAAGCAGCGAACGCGGGATCCTCGCCGATGTCTCAAGCTTTGCTGCTAGGAGCGTGTGCGCAGGGAGGGTAGCCGAGTTGGGGTCTAGAGAGTCGGCGAGGTGCTGTGATGTCTGGGGCTAGCTATGTTCTTCTAATTTCTTGACCGAGCATGTGAACTCACTTTCTGGGGCATCGCTTCGAGAATTGGATAATAGTACAGTTGACAATGTGTGTTCGAAGATGCCTCAATGTTGGGCCATGCCTTTTGAGTAATGCTGCCATCATTTCCGGGGTAGCGAAGACAGGGCTGGGCAGTCAGAGCCATGTGAATTCCACACTAAATACACCCTGAATGTTTTGGAGGGGTTGACAGGAATGAAATATGTCTTTTTTTCATGGTTATGTATAGATTGGTCTCAAGATATTTCCGCTGGTCCATTTGCAAAAGTAGTAGCTTGCCCTCGTGAAAAGGTCTAGGAACACAGAAAGTATCTGGACGCGCCCCAGACCCTGTTTTATACCAGTCATTGGAATGGGCAATAGTTTTGATATCTTGACTTTCCAGGTTGTCAACATAGCTAAACGTCAAGAAGCTGCAATAAGTGTATTGTGTATTATTCCGCCTGGCTCTTTTCCAATTATGATAGTGACTTTGTAAATGGAGTCGAGAAGCTCATCTATAGTTTGCCCCCCTAAAATTAGTTATGCCTTTTACTCTGCACAAGATAGGTGGCTATGCCAGCGTCAATTTCACTTAGTCGTCCACCTTGCTGACTACCTTTAGGGGATAAAGGGGTGAGCAAGCCACCGCTACAATCTTTTCACGTGATACTGCGTTCACGTGAACAGGAGTGGCTTCGAGCATCCCAGAAAAACTGATGAGGCTCATCCAATGCATCTCATCCGAGTGAGCAACACCAGGATGATGACACATTTTTCTAATTTCGACCCCCTTGTATGGATCGGCTGTAAGCAAGAATCTTATGGCAAAATGCAATTTCGGTGTCGTCATCTCCAAGCTACGGTACGGAAGCTACCGTTCCCCTTGCTGACGTATTCACTTTTTGGAACAGCCTCGATGAATCTCAACGCTTCCTACTACTCGTTCAAACATGCGCCTCCGCGACACCAGTACTTGCAACGGTATGCGAACCGGTACTGCCCATTGATATATGCGAACGCCGAGTTCCATGTTCCAGGGGAGGCTGCGCAGTGGAGTGTATGGTATGGCGCTCTCATACACCCATGACACGAGAGTGCGTCGTACTCGTATTGTTCGCGGCAATATATGTGCAACAGCGTATGAAAAATGACGCCTGGATACGATCAGTACAGCGGTTTGACGCATTTGGTGAGAAGCAGCCGGTTTAAAAAGTTTATATCCGTATCCATGTCCTCAAAGCAGGGATGGCATGCATGGAATCGAGATGCACAGCCACGTACCCTTTTCTCATACTACCTTGTCCAAGCAAAAATCTCGACTGGTATCGTATTTGAAAGCGCTCTTTTGAGGTTCTAAAATGGAATCCGTAATGGCCTCTGCGCCGTGATCGAATTTCCCGGGGATAGCCATCGCTGTGGGAATGAGAAAACATATATAACATAGGAACTTCATGACGACGACTGAAGCTCAGGGGTATGCTGGGATCGATGGAGCCCTTGCGACAAGGCAAGGATAACAAGCTTTACTATTGATATGCATGCCAAGTTTCCCAACGCAGACATTGATATACCAGACTCTGCACATCATCATAACCTTAAGGAGACTTGTCAAGAGGGACAGAAGTGTCATAAGTCGAACATGTATGCATCTTCCCGCTGTCATGCAACGTACATGGGATCCAAGAGATACCGTTCGTTGCAACAAGACCTGATGATCGAATATTCCGCTATGCCGCACAGATAATACACGCACCCGTCACCCAGCACACTGTGTTCCAAGATGTATTGAGCTAGTGCACGCTCGTAAACTCGGCGAAATATGAAGGGTTCTGTACGGCATTCCTGTCAAAGCAGTTGGGGAAAATATAACGGTTTTAAGCTTAAGTCGAGGTTACGCTGGGTGCTTAGGTACCACTTTCACGACAGCTTTGTGATATGGCTATGGTGAGTGGATTATATGGGACTCGTGAGATTTTCTTCAACAATCTACACTATCTTCTAGGAGAACTTTAACATTCTAGGAAAGACTGTAATTGATTACACGGAGGCAGGCTTACAGAAGGTAGGTGTAACAAGGCAAATAAATTGCTTCCAAAAGTACAAGAAACTACAAAAATCTTACATGAGATTTATCATCAGCTATCGGCATCAACACACCACACCACACTCCCCCCTCTTCCACTCAAAAGACACTCTCCCCAGCCCTCCCCTCCATCAAGCACTCCAACGCCTTCCCAACCTCTTCCAAAACCCCCTCCGCCTCCCCGATCCACTCCTCAAACGTCACAATCTCAATCCCCAACTTCCTCCCCCCATCCTTGACAAACGCCTGACACTTCCACTCGCGCAACGGCTCACCGTGCGGATACAACGTCTGAAACTTCGCCTCAACCCCATTCCCAAACGGCAGCTCCTCAACCCAAGCTGGCGCCTGATGCACAACCGTATCGAACCACTGCACCTTATCCGCATCCCAATCCGTGCAATTTTGCACAATCTCGCTGAAGCCCATGGATTCGTACGCGGCAGAGGTCATATGTTGGTCCTGCACGTAGCGTAGGAGATCGAGGTAGGACCAGGATTTGGAGAAGGCGACGCGGAAGGGGATGTATTGCCATGTGGGGCCGAAGATGCGGTCGGCGTTGGGGGCGCCTACGTTGCGGCCGGATACGACTTCGCCGAAGACGACGTCGGTGCGGTTGAGGCGGCGGGAGAGGACGAGGGCCCAGGCCGCGGTGGGGAGCGAGCCGATGGTGATGTTGGCGGGGCGGCCCGAAATGTCGAACTCTCTGTAGATGTCTGCGGGGCCGCGATGGGTAAGCGGGATGGTGGGTTTCAAGACGGTCATTTCAGAGCCAGAAAGCAGGTTCTTCCAATATGGGATTGCCTTGGGGATGTTATCGAGGACGACGTGGTTGACATGTTTGCTGAAGGGTACGGTTTCTGGGACTGTCGTACCGGAGTATAGGGTGGAGAGTTGCTCGAAGAGTATGGGCAGGCAGATCTCGTCGTACTGGGCGTGCGAGATTCGGAAGACGAGGGTGGAGGCACTGTTAGTGTGAGTGAAGAGATTGAAGGCGACGAAGGATGATCCGTATGGCTTGGGTGCTTCGATATCCTGTTGGATGCCTGCCTGGATGAAGGTGTCGGCGTCCTCGCCTTCTGGGACTGCAGTCTCGGTGTAAGGCACTTTCAATGATGATAGAACCACACCGAGCGTCAACTCGTTGTCTTTGACAAAAACAGTGCGCAGAACCTCATTGCGTGCCACAAGCTCCTGGCATGCTTGCTCGAGCTTCTGACGGTCAATTGGAGTGGCAAACTTGATCAGTTCGTAACGCAGTGAGTACCGTGGCAGGTCCACAGTTCCCTCAACTGCGAGTTGCTGCAGTGGTCTCGTTGGGTAGATATTTGTGATCTCCCATTCCTGATTCTCAAGGTACAAGCCAACACGATCTGGACTGTGGAGGTTGGCGTCCTTGCCAAGCGCGATGAAAGGTGCATCAACATCAACCTTGGGCTGTGATGGCGTCTCTTCCCCAGCTGACGAAGCAAGCTCGGCAAGAGATTTGCTCTGAAAAACCTGTGCAACTGTAATGTTGAGCCCTTGCGCGCGAGCATCCGAGACCAGCCTCATTGCGCCAATAGAGTCACCTCCCAACTCGAAGAAGCTGTCATTGCTCTTGATATCGGTCTTGGCAATACCAAGAATGCGGCTGAGAATTTCTGCCAGTTTGTCTTCCCGTTCGTTGCTTGCTGAAGCCGCCAGGTCAGACAAGGAGCTGCTTTGGAAGACCTGGGCAACCGTCAGGTTAAGGCCTTGAGCGCGGGCGTCGGAAACGAGACGCATGGCAACAATAGAATCTCCGCCAAGGTCAAAGAAGCTATCACTTGACCTGATATCCGTTTCCTTTATGCCCAGAATGCGACCCAATATACTTCGCAGTTTCTCTTCGTTAGGCGATAGCTCCTTCAAGCCAGCATCCATAGATTCGGGCCCATCAACCGGCGACATGCCCAGTGCACTGTCACTCATGACATCCCTTGGTCTCATAGCCTCTGCATCTCGAGCTTCCGCGGGATCTAGGACTGCTACATCACCCAGCTTGCTCTCGGGGTTACCCAAGAAAGCATGAACTATGCGGCCGAGTACAGCAAGCACTCTCTCCATTGTCTCTTTGCTGATGCAGTTGGAGTCGAAACTAGCCATGACCAGGAAGCCATTCTCTTCGAGCGTGCAGACAAGCATGAGAGCATAAGTGTTGAACTTGAGCGCCTCGCGTGCTCCTTCTGCATCATTGGCGGGAAGGAATGTGTTTGCAGGATTGTCCATATCGACTGTGCCCCAGTCTTCGTCTTCTTTGGGATGTAGTACAAGACCGGTACGAAGGTCGCATGCAACACGTGCGTCCTTACTCAGACGGCGGATATTCTGGAGGCCCAAGTGCTCATGAGGAATCTGTTTTACGGTCTGAGCA